AAGCGCAGTTTTTAAGCAAAATATCTAGCTTTCATTCTGCAGGCAAGGAAAACTATATCTACTACCCAACATTAAATGAAACCATATCTATTACCTTTGAAATTATAACTTTTTACTCAGAACCACTAACTAAAAAATAATGATTTGGCGAAATGTGTGGAATAAAATATTCCAAAAGGTTAAATCTGAATGTGCAGCGAAGGGGACATATCTTGTTGATCCAAATGTAATCCCGGACGAGGTATTTCTTGTAAGAATATTTAATCTGCCAAACTTATATATGGGTTCATTAATAATCATTCATAATTATGTTGTCAAGTTTTATGTTAATTTTCTGAAAATGCATAGATGTGTCTATATATATATATAGATAGTTCACTGAAAGTTTCTAGCTTAGTAAAAGTCCATATAACTAAACAGACCACGAGAATATCAGCATAAGAGAGACGCTGTGCCAATCTGAGGTTTCTCTCCACTGATCTTACGAAATATTTGACATTCACGGAAATTTGCAATATCCAACTTCCTGAGGTTTTAGCAGCAGGTAAATCTACAGGTTTTATTGTCATTCCTTTTTTACACTCTGAGCAATCCAGGGGAAAAACTGGCCCTTAAGTTTTAGCAAAAAACGAACTAAAAATTCGCCATTTCACCACAAGCTTCTTTGGTTGAACACTCGTATATCAAACTTTACGTGTATATCCTACTAATAGCCAGTCACGCAGATAAAAGTTTATCTGAAGACCCCGATCCGCCGCAGTCAAAGTCTGTCTACAAATTTGTGCGTTAGTCAACAGCACGCGCTAGATGTACCGCGGTATGTCATGCAGCAACTTCTCTGACAGTTAAAATACGCAGGTTAATTTTATTGTTTCCATAAATGTATAATTTATAGTGAAGGGTTAAATCAGCGGTTTAAGATATTTTCTTAAATAAAAATAATATAAAATAATTGAAAACGTTTATACTCGTCTATTGTGAATAGAGTTTTTCTAAGCTCTTCTCAAGCGTGCAGAATGATGTCAGTTTCGTCATCTAAGGTTGCAAGCCACATGTTTTCGGGATATTACTCACGTTGTGGGAGCTCTCGTGTATAAACTCGCGATTCAAATGCTGTTTATCACACTTGTTGCGTAATATACTATTTTACCAGAGTTTCTAGACATTTATAAGAAGACATCCAGCTTTGTGAAAAATAAAGTCAAATGGGTACGCCAATAAAAACTTGAATAATAACAGGCATTAATTGAATAATTTCAAGAAAGTGTCCTAAAAATCCAATTTCGTTTGAGAGAAAACTCAAAATTTAGGTGGATGCTTATATATTCGTTATGTTAATCATAGAAACAAACCCAACTACAGTCTTATTTATAATTATCCAGGCCATTTTTCTAACCACCAAACTAAATGATAACAGACACGATATTCGGCATTCAATAATCACCAAGATCCCATCAAATCTTGAGACAAAAAGGAGTTAAGTGTGCGGATATCGCTGCTTAGAGAGAAAATAGTGCAAAGTGCAGGTTAGCGGGTATAATGTAAAGGCATGAAAATATTATAGCCACCTAAGCCGCGTCAATTTTTATGGTAGTAGGGACTGGGGACACTATTTTATCCATATAGCTATATGGTGGCAAGTAATCTCGTGTCCCAAAAAACTCGCTAGAAGCAAAACTGTACCACTTGTAATACTACTCATTAAGAAGAATAAAAATAACTAATTATCCAAAAGGAACGAGTATTATTATCTTCAAGTGAAATATAGTTGCATAGAGCACAGAGGACACACAAATACACAATGAATCAGTACCGGTAACACTTGCGGAAAAAGAGATCAAAAGGAATCTGGCAATAAAAAAGATTTAATATTGCATTTACACAAATTGTTAAAAGGAAAGGTCCGAAGTTATTAATCAAGCAATCTATAACCTCTCTATCTCTGATTAAGAGAATTGTTTTCGAACAGAAAACCAATGAAAAAGGCAAACCAAGGAACATATTCACCTTGTCTAATATGATTCGTCAATTTTTAAAAACACTAATAATTTAAGAAAAGAAGAAACTGTGGTGAAAGTATCTACCTAGAATTAAATTCCAATGCAGTGATTGGTTTAGGTTAACATAAAATTAGTTATAGACAAATTATTATTCAAGAAAATCATTGAAAAAAATTGATAGTAGTGATGGTGGGTGAAAAATGTTATATTTTCTCTATTCTATCACACCTAATTAAATAAAATGTAAATTAAACGAAGCAAAATCTATAAAATTATATAAAAACATCCAAACCGCCAAATGTACGTATTTTCATCCCCGTTTCATCTACGAAGCCCACTTGTTACGGACATCTGAAGAAATTAAAGGTAGGGGAATGAGAACTTAAAAGTATACCAGTAGTGTTCAAAAAGTAAGGTGACTTTTGTAATTGGGCGGTCTACGTACATTCGAACTTCGATATATATTTTTTTATGTTGTTAAACATGTTATAGTGTCAGCCAGTTGGCACATTTACTTTTTTTACGAGTTAGACGTTAGACCTGTTTTGTGTGCTAGGCGATTTTCTGCTGTCAAAAAAATGGAACAAAGAAATATGCATAAAATTTTGTGTAAAAAATGGAATACAGTGCTGCCAGGTACTTGAAATATTGACAACGGCATATGGTAAATATAGTTTGAGCAAAAAAAAAATGTTTATAAGTGGTTCCATGATGGTTGAGAAGAACCTCGCTCTGGGTCAACAAAGCGTTGAAGAAGTGAAACAAATGATGTTGAAAAATTGTCGCACTATTAGAAAGGTGGCTGAAGACGTCGGCATCTCTGCTCGTGCCATGCAATTTTTTCCGAAGTTTTGACCTTCAATTTTTTTTCCAAAACTGATTAGTTTGGAAGAAAAGGACCGACGAAGGAGCATCGCTCAAGAGCTGTCAATAATGATCCAGATATGCTCAAAAAGGTCATAACTGGCGACCAATCAGGGGTATATGCTTACGACGTCGAAGCCAAAGCCAAGTCGTCACAATGGAAGAACCCAGAACTGCCAAGACCAGAAAAAGTTCGATCAAATGTCTAGGTTTGGCTTACTGTTTTCTTTGATTATCGTTCTCACCACAAGGTCGTCGTACGGTCAATAAATGGTATTACTTTCAAGCAATACGAAAAAAGATCTGGAATTGTGGGAAAACAATTAATGGATTTTGCATCGTTGCTTGTGTCTGACATTTTGCCAAAAACAAAACCACAATCATGCCTCAGCCATCATATTTACCAGATATGGCCCCCAGTGACTTTTTTCTAACTAAGCAAGTAACTAAAACCTAAGAACCAGATGAAAGGAAGGATGTTTGGAGCAAATGTGGACATAAAGTAAAAAAAAAAACGAGAGAAGAACTCAAGGCTATATCAGAGTGCTTACCAGAAGTGCTTCGAGGATTGGAGAAAATGTTAGCACAAGTGTATTACATCTTGGGCGCTGGGGGGGGGGATATTTTGAAGGAATATTAATTTTGATGAATAAATAAAACACTTTTTGCTAAAACTTAAAAGTCACCTTACTTTTTGAACACACCTCGTATATGCCATTATATTCAAAATGCGATGTTTTATTGCTTGCTCTCCTCTGCGAACAGGGAATGTCACAGATTTAGTCTCACTTCGATAAATCTATCTAACGGCATTTAATTTATCCCTAAAAATTTCTACAAACTGAACAGTTCTTATTATTATAAGAGGGGTTCACAGAAGATAGGAGAGTTCTGGATGTGGGAGAACTGGGCTGTTACTGTTTTAAATAAGTTATTATATATTTTGTCGGAAAATTTTATATCATGGATATTGTTCCATACCGAAGTTCGTTTTTGAGGGAGTAGTGATGGGACTTAATATCTTATATTTCATATTTTTTACTACGGAATTCGTTATAATATCATATTGCCTTTGATGCCACTTAAATAAGGCTTAAAAAACAATTTTACAAGGTAACGCGTGGGTTACTTTTTAGTATACTTCATTCACGGAATTGGGAGCGGCTAAATGTTTTCAATGTACCTGAAAACTAATGGTACAATTTGCTAATATATATTATAAAACTTGAGTAAAATTTTCGGGACACATTTTGCTTTAAAGAAAATTGCGCCTATAAATGCTGAAACGTACAACAATTGATATTTTAGAAATAATTCATCCGATAACTTATGTACATGGTATTTACATACATTATTGTAAAAAGTTAATCGTAATCGTAAACATTTGAGTAATTTATTTCGTATGTTTTGAATTCACTCAGTAAAAATGTTTCTGAAATTCATCATATGCCTACATTTTAGGTTGCCTTCCAATTTTTAATAAATTATATACTTAAACTTCAACGAAAAATATTTTCTAAGATTGTTTGTCAAAAACCATCCTGCTGGCTTCTTCAGAGCTTATTATAGTAACATGTGGAAGTGTCTTTCAAAATTTACAATAATTTACTTCAAATGGACCAAATTTAAATTTCTACATCGGTTCTTAAGAAAACTGTAAACGTTATTATTATTCTCAATAAAAAAGGGGGTCTTACATTTTGAAAAATTAAGGTTTGTTCAGTAACTTCTTAATCTGACCTCAGTCATAGTAGTTAAAGATTATATTAAATTTTTGATTAGTTTTTTTTGTAAAATAATCAGAATCGTAATAAAAATTAAACCAAAAAACATTCTTTTGGAATCTGCTGATACGTGTAATTAATGCCATAAACAAATATTTCGGAATGTGACCCCGATGTTTCCGCGGTTAACGCGGTTGAATATCATGGAAAAGGAAATCATTATTTGTGATTGTTGTTGATTCTTGTGGTCTAATTCCCGACTCAATGGTCGACAAAGAGTTATCTTATTAAGATTTTAAATGTATCTATGTAAATTACCTATACGTTACTTAGATTCCTTCGTTCGACGTATTGATTCAAGCCCCGCTTTGATCGTCATTTTTCGTTTTCAAATAATATTTTGTGGTTGCAGGCGGAAGGCTGACGAAGTTCAAATCCTCGAAGAAACGATACGGGCCCGGAACGAGCAGCACAAAAAAGCCGGGATCGAACTCGAAGCTACGTGTCACATATGTCTCAAAACTAAGTTCGCCGACGGCATCGGCCATATTTGTAATTACTGTTCCATCCGGTGTTGCGCCCGGTGTGGCGGAAAAGTTACTTTAAGGTCCAATAAGGTTCGTACTTAGCTTTTCTAGTTTTTAATAAACGCGTCGATATCAGAAACTTGCAAATAAATAAATACGTGAAAATTTGCAAGTTCCTCAAATAATTCCTCAATAATAAATGTCAGAAATAAACACATTTATTGTAAACATTTAATTTAAAAATAGTTTCACTAGTTCTACAAAAGCATATTTTTAAAATGTTGTTTTAGTAGTCGATACGCGACATTCCTAAAACCTGAATTTCAAATTTGATTGGATGTTTTTAAATACTACGAATTGAAAATAATGAAAACAACTAACGACTAGACATTTTGCAAAAATAATTGTGCTTCTGGACTTATGCTAAATGGAAAAGGAAAGGTGGTTATTTGATTTGCTTATCAGAAAATCAGTATCAGAAGATAGGGGATCCTTCTCTATTTGCGTAGGAAATTTAATAGAATGATGAATATCAATTAAAAAGGCCAAAAGAATATTTACAAAATTTTAATTTTATTGAAAATGATAAAAAAGTCATCTACGTAACCAGAACAGAAGATGACGTTATATAGAAAGTATATTGTTTAACTTCGGATTTCATACATGAAAATTTCAGCTAGCATGGGATAGGTTGGAACCTATAGACAGGCCGACATTCTATATATATATATATATATATATATATATATATATATATATATATATATATATATATATATATATATATATATATATATATATATATATATATATATATATATATATATATATATATAAGGGGTATTTTTTTTCGATGTATAGAACTTTAAGTTGCAATAAAACAACAATAGATTATTCGATTGACGTGAATTTTATTTATCCAAAAGATAATTTTGTGGCGTTACATTTTAAATATGATTTCTGGCATATGACCGTCACAGCTGGCGCGGATGTAGTCCACTCTGGACGTCCAATTTTCGATAACTTTTTCCAACATTTGTGGCCGTATATCGGCAATAACATGGCGAAAACAGTCAGTTTTTCTGGATGTAACGGTGTTTCGACATACACTTGAAGATTAGCTTCGCTCCAACAGTTTTGTTTATTGCTGTAGCCATTCAACCAGAAGTGCGCTTCATCGCTAAACAAAATTTGCTTATGAAAATCGGGAACAACGGCAATCTCGTTTTGGGCCCATTCGACGAATCTACGCCTTACTTGATGATCGTTTGGCTTCAATTCTTGCACGAGTTGGATTTTGTAAGCACGTAAACCAAGATCCTTCCGCAAAATCTTCCATAAAGTGGATGGACACAGATCCAATTCCTGTGCTCGATGGCGGATGGACTCATTCGGGTCTTCCTCAATGCTACGCTCTACAGTAGCAATAACTTCTTCTGTACGCACCGTACGGCGTCTTTGGGGATGCGAGTTATCAATAAGAGTAAACGAGGTGCGAAAACGTTCCATGGTTAATCGAATTAACTGCTCTGATGGACGATTTTGTCGACGATAAAATGGACGTAGTGCGCGATACGTATTCCGCACAGAACCATTATTTGCGAAATAAAATTGCACTATTTGCAAGCGTTGTTCAGGCGTGAGTCTATTCATGATGAATTGCCAAACCAAACTGAGAATAAATCATTTGACAGCTGTTAAATCCAAGTAATGCCAACTTAAGGTTCTATACAGCGAAAAAAAAACACCCATTATATCCGTTTTAAGTTGGTTTACTAACGACAGACAATCATTAAGAGGTATGCTTGGAACTAAATTAGCTACATGTATGGAGACCAAAATCTCTGTTTTTGGTATGAAAATATTTAAGTTTAATCCGGTTAATTGTTTGAAATTACTGATGGAGAATGAACTCGAAAAATGGATTAACTGTAATAAAACATTCTTTAACCAAGAGCTTGGAACATGGTGAAAACATTATTCAACACTAGTGGACGTATATGAATATCATTTTTATTGATTATTAATCTTTGGAAATCCATAAAACATAGGAATACTAGCGTTCATCAGTACGAGCTTCGATTTATAGAATTGGAAAAAGCTGTTTCTAGCCTCCCAAATATTTTTTAAAATTTGTTAATGAAATTTTGAGCTGGGTTAGTGGCAGTGTAATCGCACTTATCTTTATTTGATTTTCTGTAGAAATAGTTTGGACGGAATTAAGGATCTAACAGATTTTAAACATATCGTGTGTGTCCTTATTCGAATTTGTTCACCTGCAGTGGGGAAAATGTGAAAATATATTTCAGACTGGTTTCTTATACTGTTACTTAGATTCTATGTAATGAAAAACAATATCTCGGATCAAACGTTCGTTGTTGAAGTTGTCTTTACAGGGTAGTTGGAACTTGAATTGGCATTGTGGGGGAAAAAATTCATTTAAGATTTCAATTGTTATTCAATTTTCTTACTTAATTTTTTTTTAGGAAGTTGGGGAAGAGGCAAGAGATCAGAACAATTTAAGTTTTAATTCTAGAAAATTCAATTATGTCGTTTGACCTCATCCTTGGCCCACTCCATGAAAAACAGCCTTATTAACCCCCATTCTTCTTACTAATGGGTATTTCGGAATAATGGTTTCTTAGACACTTAATGTTAAACCAGACGTTCACCTTACACCCCTTCCTCATTAAATAGTTCATCTTCAGCTCGTGGACCAAAGTAACACGACCAGAAAAAAAAATGGAAAAGTAGTCCATCTCTCAGAGTAAACTCAGGAGAAAAGAAACAACCGTGTTGTCCTTCACAACAATTTAACGTAAAATCATTTTTTTTTCGAGTGCCAAACGACAGAACCAGTTTCGAGCACTCAAGTACCTTAAATAACATATCTAGCGAGTGAACGAAGTAATTAACCAAGAGGTAAACCGGAGTTCTAGTAACATAAAAAGAACAACCCAGCGTAAACACACTTTTTTGAGCTAGAAAACAGCGGTTGAAAACAAATATCTGTGTTTGTGTGTGTTTGGGGAGATTTGATTAATTTTCATTATATTAAGTTTGAGTAATTTGAGCTATTGTTTGGTGGGCAAAACTCGACCCAAAAGAAGCAATACAGTAATAACGTGAGTTGGACATAGTACCAGAACAAAGGAAAAACTTAAAATGGTTAGGGGACTAAAAGACGCAATGATCTATGACAGGAATATGAAATACCTTTACTATTTCACTATTTTTGCCTCCGAAGTGAGCTGACGTAACCGTAAATCGTGGTAGGGTGTCCTATTAAAAGTTTTGAAGGATTAAGAAAGCGAACTTTTCGAAATTTGATATACAATAACAGTGTTTTAGCGAAAGATGCTTTTTGAGACATTAAATTAACATTACATTAAAAATTGTCAACTGTAGCCTTGCTGAAAATCCCTTGCCAAATGTTTTTTTCTGCCCAAAACTCACAACCATCAATGTGGTTTTAAAGGGCTGATCTATATATAAAATATCATAAACAACACCAAAACAAAATTTTGAGTGAGTGATTAAAAGCTAATTTGGTCCAGGCCTGGAAGAAAAAGTTGCCGATGTACTGTTATTACTAGAAATAATGCGAATTGATTTAACCAATAGATTCCTTTTGATAAGATCTATAAAAACAGCTTTTGTGTGAATTTTTAACTTTTACAGTGATTTCAAAAAATCGGGTAGTGGATTCACGTATTTGGTTTTCCCGTCATTTTTTATTTTACCTTAAGAGCCTTTGGTGGACGGGTCAAAAAAATTGGAACTGATTTTTTTAAACTAGACTTGACTAAAAAACAACATTTATTATAATAGACCAAGAACAATCCAAATTTTAGAAGAAAGAATGAGACAGGCAATCAATGAATTAAATAGACATTTATCTCATTCTACAAAACCAATGAAAATGAAAGCGATTATTTCAAGAAATAGAATTTAGTTCCATTATTTTTGCTGATTGCTAAGCAATTAATTCGATTAAACAAATTCAAGAGTTATTGCCGTTGCCTTTGTCAAAACTGACAATTATGTTTTAAGACTTAAATATCAAGGAAATTTTGAACCGTTCTATGTTCAAAACTAATGGATAAGAATATGAAACAATATACTGGACGTTCCATTAAAAAAGACATGTTGTTAAAATTTGCCATTTTTCCATAAAAATCATTGAATTTTCATATTTGCACTGTTTGTATCTCTTATGGGTGATCATGTAGATGATGCTGTCAAAAATGTAAGGGAAAAACATATCGAAACATATTGAAATCATCGACCAATACACAACAATGGTTCGGTGTTGGTCCCGCGATTATATCGATAGCAATGGGGAGCAGGAATTCGCCGCGGAACTCCTGCCAGGCTGCCCGGGAAGAGCAGTGCCTCGATCGTGGCGGCGGCGGCGACGTCCGTGGCGTGGGAAGTCCATTGTGAGGATGCCGGCAGTGTGCGTGGGGTTCGAGTTGACGTCATTGCCGAGAGAATGGCCTGGCCAACGTTGTCATGTATATCCAGGAAGAATACTCGTACATGTAGAGTGTGTAACGTCGATTCCAAATGTAAATATAATAAATGGATCTGTTTCGCCTTGTGACAGTATAAATAAGTTCCAAACTCGACACTGAAGTTGTTCGTTTTTAAATTCACATTGATGGTGGTGATATTCGGAGTCGTTTACGTGTTCGCGTTTTTATAGGGTGCGGTTAACATAACGTCATCAAGGGAATGAAAAAGGTTATGATGGAATAGAACATTGAGTGCACATAATAAATAAAATGTACAAGTATACAGGGTGGGCACTTTTCAATAGGATTTTATGGGTAACTTTTAAACCATTAGAGATACGGGGCGGTTAAATGGGATAAAAGTTGTTTTCATAATACCCTGAAGTTGCCAATTAGCTGAGGCGGACTAAGAAATATTTTAGAATAATCAAATTCTTTGGTTTTAGTATTTACTTCCTAGCATTTTTACAAAAAAATCGTTAGACAAAAGTTGCCGGGTTCAAAACGAATCTCGTTTTCAATATTTAGATGTTTTGACTACAGGTTGTCCGAGTTCCACAACTAATACCATCAACACCGAAATTTTCATTAGAACCTCCTGTATTTTGTACATTTTTAGATTCTTAATAAAAAAAATAAGCTAACTTTATAATTAGTTCTTCATGTCTCCTGTTACTTGCTTTCGCTACTGTTTGTTGCTTCATATTGTCTAAATGTCCTATGCACGTCATTGTCATTGACATTGTCATGCAGGTCATTTGCTTATTGTATCAATGAAGTACTTAGAATAGAATTAGATAAAAATTCAGAGAATTTTAACTAAAATTTTATTGTTGTTAGTAGTAGTTCAAAATTGGGAAACCATTTCGACTAGACAAGAATATTCTGAAGAAACTCATTTTGAACCCTACAATTGTTGCATAACTTTTTTCTTTGTAAAGTTTAAAATAATAATAGTAATATGGAAATCAAAAAATTTTTGGTTTTCTAAAATATTTAAAAGTCCACTTCAGCTTATTTAATTTTGTTATTGTGCATCTAAATGTAAAAGTTTTGTCCTATTTAATCGGCTTTCAATAATGGTTTCAAAAATACTCATTCAAAAAGGTGTCACCATGTTGTCTCATTGAGAACTTCGTCGATCTGATGGAAAATCCATAACTACTAAAAAATTTGAAATTTGGGACTATACAGGGGTCAACTTTTTTAATTTCTTTCTAACATTTTTTAATTTCTATAGAAATTTTATCCATATTCCATGTAAAATATCGTATATTGCCGTTTGCCAGAACATTTCTACAATTTCCCTATCCTTTACAGTTTCAACGTTAGGGAAAGAGAAATGTTAAACAAATTTCAATAGTAAATGTAACATAATAACATATTATTAGAACTATATTATCTTAATATTTAATAAAATTTTAAAATGAATTAGTAAATAACGACTAGAAAATAAAAAGAAAAACAACATTACATAATTTTCAAGATGTTTCATTTGGCATTAATTTTTTCCTCATTTTTTTTTTCAACAAGTTTTTTAAGAAAAGTATAAATCACAAATTCTACCAAGCAAACCTTTCCTTCAAACTTAGCAACAGTTCAGATAACACTTGCTCTTTGTACAGGTTGTAAACTAAAACAAAAACACTTTCGTCAAAACATTTGCCGCAAATTGTGAAAGCAATAGCGTTAAGTCATCTATTAAGTAAAGTATCATAACCAAGTTTTACAATTTCCTTCGCACCGAGAAATAAATGTTTTTTCTTTCCGTGGGAAATTAGGAATTAATTTTGAAAAATAAAAAACTCCCAATATTAGGACACCATTTCTACCTAATCATTAAAAAATCTTTATCTGAAGTTTTTATGTGTCATTTATAGAGATATAAAACACCAAATTTTTTGAGATACAACGTTCTTATTTGACCACGTCGAAATTTCTAGTATGAGAAAGAGTTTTTATCCGGAGCAAAAAATTTTGGTTTAAAACTTTTATAAGATGTGTTGACAATTTAATTCTTATATCAGTAACTAAAAATAATAATAAAATCTTGAGATAGAGGCACAGCCCACACGAGCACACATAAGAGATTTTTTTTTTTATATTTTAAATATTTCTATCACTCCTTCTCCAAACTAACCAAACAGGTACAAAGTACCAAGTTGAATATTTTAACCTTCACGACAAAATGAAAACTTCGTTTTCTTCGTACTTTTACGCACTACCATTCGAGTGATTGAAAACGGAAAACAAATCTTTGCAAACTCTAAAATAGTTGTTGGGATTTCCACAACAAAGCCATTTTTAACAGTCTAGGAGAGGATTTACATCCCTAAATACTTGTTTTCCAAGTGTTTTCTGTTCAATAAATAAGATTTCGTTCTGTTTTAGCACATTTTGAGAAATTACATGGTGTATTTGCCTCTCTTTCATCTAATCAGAAAATCATGAAATTAAGAAAATGTATACAATGATTTAGTTTTTTTATTATACTGTCGATAAAAGAAACACGAATCATACACGTGAAGCGATAATGAAATTTGCGTGATCGCAATTTTATGAATGGCGGTATCACCAATAGCGGCAGTTAAACACACGTAAATTAGCGATGCAACAATTATTATTATCATCTGATTTTAGATTAAAACACTTTGCGTCACCTGATGCGGATAATAAATAAAACATTTGGTTGGAAATAGCTTTAATAAAATACTTTGATTTGGTCTTAGGACCGTCATGTGCATTGCAATGTCCCCGCGCGTATGCAGGTTTGCAGTAGTAACCGATTTTTCGCTATTAATGCTTATTATTATTATTAATGCTATTAAACGACTCCTTATCTCGACTATGTGTCCGTACTTGTTAATTTCATAGATAGGTGTATGCAGACAGTTAAACTACCCCCAAAGTTTTATCTCATCACGAGTTCAAAGATGAAAACAATAAACACTTTATCGAATAAAAAATAAGGATATTCCAAAACTCGAAAGATTAAAGATAAACATATCTCTCGTGATTTTTAATAAACGTAAATACCATTTAAAAATGTTGTTTTTGTCGAAACTTTTTTGTCAACTTTTGGAAGAAACTTATACCAATCTGGAACTGAATTTTAATTCAGATTTTAAACGTTAACGCAAAAGTTGCAGAAAACTTTGAATTGAGCTGTAGAATGAATGACCACTTTGAATATTTTTTTTAGTTTTTTTTCTTTACTCGCCCCCCTTTTCGGAAGTGCATTTTTAAAAATGCAATATTTGCAAATATTTTTAATTCAAACATCTATTACGTACGAATAATTAAAAATTTCTTTCCATAAACCATTCAATAGCAAACAAGCAAGATTAATTTTTGCTGTCCCGGGTCGAACGCTTCATCCCACGTTGATTGTCGTGGGTGTATGCTGCATTACAAATAGCCTTAGGCAATCAACCAACCCACCTTCATGTTCAATTGCGTTCCGATGCCTACGCAAGGCATTTCGCTGATCCTCCCTAAAATTAGTTTTGGTTAGTTAGTTTAGGTTAGAAAATTTAACTGGTTTTGGAATATTTTAGCAACAATTCCCGGAGCAAGTGGAGTAGGGAGTAACCAAAATTCAAAATATCTAATCGATAAGAATAATTCAACTATGCTTAGGCTTGTTATTAAAATACCATTTTCTAGAATAGATTGTTTTTCTTTTAAGGTCGTGTTTTTCTCGCACCAAGTGAGCTATCGCGTGCATTAACAAGCCCTCGCTCCGCTTCTTTCCGCTAATACCAAATCAAAGTCGTGGCTCAAATGGCGTTTATCAAATTTGTTGCCTAATATATAATTTTAAACAAATTTATTGCAATTTTCATTTATTCCCAAGCCACATTATTTCTTCTATAATTTCACAACTAGCCCTCTCAAACGATGGTATAACATATCATGCGCTTTTACCTGATAACTGTCTTCTTACTGGTCTAAATTAAGTAGACAGTAACGGAAAATGAGTCACTAATCCGATAAATTTTGTTTGACGTCACAAAGATTGAGAATTTTCTAAAACTTCTGCCTGGAAAACGTATCGACAAAATCTATGCATTTCAGTTGTACGTCTTCCGTCAAACCGAAATAATGTGCTGATATTACCTCAGGTAATGTGGTTGGCTTTCCTAATTTCCCTTCGTATTCATTTTAAAGATATATAGTGTTTTTCGGTTGTATACCGACACTAGAATTTTAATTTAATACTGTTTTTATCTAATTTTAGGCCCTTCAATGAATCATTAAGTTGTGCAATTTAATTTTTTTATCTCAATGTCTATAATGTGCAGTTATTCAAGAGCTAAATTTAAATTTAGGTTGTTGTATCCGTCAGCCACAGCATAAAATCCCACATTTTGTATCCTGCATTTGTCGCCGTACGCAACGCACGCTTGAGGTTGCAGGGTCCTTATCAGAGTTTACAATTTTTCCTTCCTCACAAGAGTTAAAAATGAGTTATTCCCGATAATCGTAACCGGTATGTGTGAACTTCTTTTGCTTTCTAAGCGTCGATTAGGTTTCTTGCTGATAGCTAAAATTCTTTATAGCTGAGGCTTCTTAGCTGTAACGCGACTTTGCTGTAAAGTCTATTTATTTGCAACCAGGTTATGTTATTTAGTTATTTTTTTAGTTTGACATGAGGTTTAAATAGTCAATTAATAATTTTGATTGCGTACTTCAGTGATAAAAATCATGTCTCTTCTTTAAAGACTCTGTTATATTATATACAGTTATAGTCAAGGTAATTTCAATAAAACGCACACTAATTTTGATCGTATACAAAGGGTTCCATTTAAGAAAATATAGTTTTGATAAATTTCGAACTTAAAAAAGAAGTTAATCGTATTGCTTTGGTCAACAATCCCTGTTATTATCAGCCATTTTTTAAAATTTAATCACAGCACATTAGAATATTAAAACTCATATATTCTCATTTTGCGCGAACCGGATATAATAACTACCTTTTTGGTCCTTTGATGCGGGATGCCCAGTCAAGTCAACGGTACCAATTTTCTCGAAATTGATTCAATTTTGAGTTTAGCGCCATTTCATGTATTTATGCTCGAACATATTTTTCGCTCTCCCTATTAACATTCTACAAAGCAAATGATGTAAAATATGAATCTTATAGATATGAGCAATATATTTCATGATTTATGTCATTATTTGCAGGTGGTGTGGGTTTGCATCCTCTGCCGCAAAAAACAAGAACTTTTGAGTAAAACGGGTCAATGGATGTTGACTGGCGGCAATCCTGAGACTGATATGCCCATACAGATGCAGATGCAGCAGGCCCCCTCCGATAAGCGGCCCAAATTGGAGCGGGCTCACTCTGCCGCAGAAAAAGAAAATCAACCTTTGCAAAGGTACACTTCAAAATTTAATTTTTAAAGACTGATGGTAATTAGTTGTTTTTACTGGGCACTATAATAAACCAAACGCTACTCCTTCGCACTATCGATTTCCGTTGGTAAAAGATCTGTAAAATTCTTGATTCTTAATATTAGTTATTGCTTATAGTCCGAGACCTATTTGAGTACGCAAGATCGAGACCTGGTTGAAGGACAGTGGGACTGAACCAACCAATTAAAGAAAAAGAATTTTTTTTCACAAAAAATGTTGAAGTTACCATCCATTTAACGGCAGATTAGTACAAAGTAGCCAACTTTTTTTTAAAATTATGTGAATAATATGAATCAAAATAATTTTTAGGGCATAGGGTTGCTCTGTTGCAAATTACGAATTTGGGATTTGACTACTTTAAGTAAATCAAACCATTGTGTGAAGTTTAATACAATCTTTCTTTTTTCCAATTCTATTTGCTTACTGAGAGTAACCTTACCTGCTAACTATGAACAGGGGTGATTATGAGGCATTTTTTTGTCTAATTGTTGTTACCCATAACGATTTGGGTTTTTGCTTGAAGAAAAATCCACGACTCTGCTCAGCCTGACGAACCACTCCGAGAACTTTGTCTTTTTTTTTTCAGTCATAAATGGTCAGTCTTGTCATATAGACTTCTAATATTCTGATATGTTGTTTGATGTTTCTATATCAAATTTTGAAAATGTGACATTGAAGCAGGTCGAATTTTGGTGCTATCATTTTTTTTTTTCAAAAATCAATTCAAATCAAAAGTTCAAATTATTATTATCGCTTATGTTTTGGTTATGGTTAGCACCTTGAGAAGTTTTTTTCATATCCATATCAAGCTAGAAGCCGTCCCAAAGTCGTCAATTGTCATTTAGAGTCAATATTTATAGTGGACGTTGTATCCACAATATCAATTAATAGAAATATATATAGGATATTGTTTACTTGATCTACATCATGATTAGAAATTTTATGAGTTTGTCAACCTTCCTTCCTTCGAAAACTGAATAGTGGGCAATCGTCTCCAATGGGGACATATCTTTCTTTGACACATTATTTCGTTTCTATGAAATCCAACTCCACAAAGATTATTCTTAGTACAGTACCGACGTTAAAATCGAAAAATTAACTTTAACATAATACTTAAGACATTTTGCTGGATATGAAACCATCACGTTGCTAATAAATAATTTGAAATAAAAAATAATTAGCCAGAAGCTTGTCCTTCACATTGGCCAAAGCTCAACAATAAAAAATCTTGTAAACAAAATTGGTAAGAGATGTAAACAACCATAGAATTATATCTTGGAAAATATGGCGATGAAAACAACAGTAGGGTAATTTTACATTATTTTGCTTTTATAAGGACGGAGGGTGGGCAAAATATTTCATCACACTTTATCCTCGTATCAACAAACAAACGAATCTTTACATCAGATGAAAACATTGTTGGGAATCAAATTAATTTATAGCTTCTGAGATGAATGTTTTTTCACGGAAAATTTAATGGGACCTGAGCAAACTTTGACAACATACTATCCGTATCCAAAACAAAAACTGACGAATCGACAAATTTTGTTTGTGTTTAAATGGTGCAATGTTGGTCGAAGAGTTGAAATGACAGGTCTTGAAATTTATATATAGCATATAGAAGACCTCTATATATGAACTTACTTTTAAACGACATGGACTATTATAGTATAATTTTGAAGCATTCGTGAGATTAAGAAAATGTATACAAGCACGCGCACGAGTAACCATATAAGGTTAAATATATTTTTGTATTATTTTGTATTGTATTATATTTGAACCAAAGTGTTCATGAGTCAAGTCAACAATAGTCATAATTTTTATTAATAAATTAACTAAAAGTGCTTTAAGGGATAGTGGGGAAGGGAAGTGTATTTCGTATAACATTCAAAATCTATATTGTCTGATAAGACTCTTTGAACTGATACGATTTTAAATTACAAATTCTCAAAACGCTCATTAAGAAATTCTTGAAAAAGTTCATTAGATTTGTGTCGAAAGCTCATGAATGTCTGAAATTTTTCTGTGGAATTTTTGGGGAGTTTGCGAACACAATTTAATGTTTTATTGAAAATTTCAGATCAGGTAGCCTGTTACGGCGGCAGTTTTCCGAGCAGGAACCAAGAGCACTTTCCTGCGAAAGGTATCAGCAGTTCAACGAGGATGACCCTCGATTCTACCAAGGTGAACTGGAGGGTTTAATGAGAACCCACCCTCATCTAGTACCGAGAAGGTTTGTCGCAATATTTTAATTAAATTTTTGGCATTTTTTTCATTTTGTTAGTCTCCGGTATAATAAGTAATATGTATTTTTTTTTAATTCATTGTCTCGAAAGTATTAAAAATATATTTAAGATTTTAAAAAATCATTGTAAATAATCATCACTGTAAATAACAGAAAACGATGTAAATGCTAAACGTTATAATTTCATCTCAGCACCCAAATATCAAGGGCCAAACTAAAACCGTTCAATACCCACCACTGTAGTGTTTTTGTCATCCGATTTGGAAATTTCAAAAACTCCGTTAAATAGTCAACATTAATTTTGTTAATGCACCATATATATTTTCTAATTTGCGAAATCTACTACGTTTGCTAAACATGTTTATGTAAAAATGTAGTTGACTTCAATATGACGGTTATAATGGACATAATTATTTTAAAGTGGCATCAAACCACAAGGATCTAATACCACTAATACTACAGCGGTGGGCGTTTCCTTGCATATATTTATATGAATATTTTCACGCAAATATAAACTTTTTGATATCTGCGCTTTTTGCCATCCGCATAATGCGAACAAAATTGTTATAGCTTCCTTTTTTTGCTATACATCACAATAATGTGCCCTTAGAATCCCATTGGTTATATTTTCTATTCCAGTAGACATTTATCTAATACAATTTCTTGCAAGCTTCTCGATAATGCAAGTAGTCGGAATACTTGGTGATTTATTTTTGAATTTTCGAAAAAATTCGATATGAACTTTAATATTCATTTTTAGGGTTGAATCAACCTTTAAATTTTTTGCTCTTTATTGCCGGGTTCCACGAGAAGATTGCTAGAATTATTGAAATGTGTTTGCATGATGCAGAATTGTTTGAACAATTTTTCTGGTACGTTATTTATATTACTCCTTAACTTTTTGCTTGGAATTGGTTCGAAACTAAATAAATCTGAAACAGGTACCCAGACGAAGAACCGGATACTTCTCCAATTGACCTTAATCAGCAACGGGTCTCGTCAACCGCAAGTGCCAACAAAAAACACAAACGAAGCGGATCTACTAAAAAGCAGCATCCAATGCCTCAGGTTCAACTTCATTCCTATTCCAGTTCCGAGGAAGATCTAAAATCGACGCCGGAATATGGAAGCGACGAAAGAGACAGCGAGAAAGGTAAGTCGGTCTATAATTTTTTTGGGTTCCCATGTATTCGGATTAGTGATACAACCACGATGTTCAATGGAAGAATAAGGGGCTTTTTCGGACACTGAAAGCGCCCTTCCAACTGGCCCTAGTTCAAAAATTAATGAATTAGACATTTCAAAAGTTGTTGCTCCCATCTGGTAGATTCTACAAAGCAGCGCAATTTTTTGAGAAACTGTGAATTTAGCCTTAGATATAAATACGTATGATATTGCTGGAAAATGCTCAAGGAGATTGGGTTTCCATAAAACTTTTCCCTAACTTTTCTGCGCTTTTATGGAGATCATAAACTACAGTCAAAGCAGTACCATGTAAAATGCATTGGATTCACTTATTGAATGTGCGTGACGGTTCGTCAACATTGCAAAAGGAGCAAAGGCTATGATCGAAAACATAGGCATAGGTGATACTTCTTAATTCTTGAAACGGGAGTTGTCTGTAAGTTCGTTGAATTCTGAATTTTTTACTTCTACGTAATATCACAAATTCGTCTCTTTTTAAAAACAATAAAAATTTGTGCAAGTTTTTCTATGATCCAAAAATGTTTTCTTAAAAAGAAAACATGCAAAATAGATGCAAAGGTTTTATCGCAATTGGGTTATTTTTTTATATTTAAAAGTTCAAGTTCTGCGAATTATATTCGGTGGAAAGATGTAACCTAGAAAGAATTTTGATTAGATATTGATTTCGCTTGTAGCTACCAAAATATTTTTCTCCCAAAGTTTTGAACGCGAAATCATCTCATATTTGTCAATATTTAGGAGATAATCATATTCAGTTGTTTGCGAGTAGGTTAAAATGTTGTTTTAAAAAACAGTGACTTATTCTTAATAGTGGTTCTTTTATTTCTTGCAACAGTGGGATATCAAACACTTCGTGCACAGTTTTTATGCACCAAGGTTAACCTTTTTTTATTAGAGTTGACTATGAACCAAAAAACGTGGACTGCAAGTGCGTTTTCATTATAGTTTAACTTCCTTTAACAATAATTTTGTCATCTTTCGTTAAGTGATGAAATGCTAATCAGCTGTATAGGACTCTTATCATTGGGATTTCTGATTAAAATATAGGACAAAATCTCCTATTTCGTCGGAACAATTTATTTTAAGTGTTTTCTTTTTTTATTTAAGTGTTAACTTTATTGAAGTCAAAAATCGCGTATGACATATCGTTCTCCTGGTAAAATCGTTAGTTCTTTTTTTTAATAATATTTCATTTTTTGCAGTCTTCTGGCAATACACCTTCTTCAAAGAAACAAGTTGCTGCCACCTTTTTTCATAGTGTTTTAAACGTATCGTTGGAGCAATGTTCCTTCCCAAAGTATCAAAATTATTCATTATTTTGTAAACCCAAGCAGTGTGCTGCAATTAACAGCGCAAAAAGAAATCTCAAATATCTTAAAAATTTTCTAAAATAACATATTTTTGAATTTTTACACAAATTATGCATTTTATTATTAGGGTTTTTTATTTTCTTAATGATCAGGTAAAAATAAATAAATTGAAAGCTTTACTACATTTTTTAGAAAATATAGATTTGTCAGCATGTTCCCGTTTTATCATTAATAACGGAAACGTAAATATTATTTTGAAAACTAAGCACAAGATCGACCGGGCGGCTATAATGGACTCGTATGGGACTAGACTAGATATATATTGGGAATATGGGAAAATTGAATTCATGGATTTATTCTTCAAAAATATCTGCATTACCTGACTCTCTACCTGTTTGTTATTTTTTTCATCACTTGCATCACAGCAATATTTTAACTTTTTATCCGTTCTAGCGATCGTAAGATAAACAGAACATATTAGCGGCCATTTTTAAATAATTGTGTATAATATTTATTTTGTATTTAATATTTTATTCACGAATTGGTTACGTGAGTATTCCGTTTACTTACACGTTTGTTATATTTTCTCCCTGATAATACAATGTGGCGCGAGTATCGTTGTCAGATGCCTTTTGTACAAACAATATTTACAAAGTTGCTCAGTTTTTCTGTACCCACTGAGACGTGGATGTGCTATCATTGGACATTCAGGGAAATCATTTGGTTTATTTTTTGGAACCTTCAGTTCTATTCAAATTTATTTGACATGGCATGGAAATCCAAATAACCCTTCGTTTACCCACCAGATGGAAGAAAGAGGGTATTTACTCTGGACAGAGACCGTTGCACCAAACATTCTGATTCACATTTGGATAAACTGCCAGTATTTTGTTTTGAATTATTTAATTATTTGGATTTTGGAAAGCATGATAAAATCTTTAACATTCATATAATGCATTTTATTCAAAGAACCCAAAATACTCTAAATATTGTGAACACGCAATGCGATTTGCAGGAGGCCACGAGAGCGAAAAAATATCAGAAAGACTGAGTCGGCAGGCGATACTCGACGAAAAAATCAAAAAATTTTTAGCGGTGAGGCTCAAAATGATGATGTACCAGAATTATTGTATTTGATGTTGTTTCATTTAAATAACTGCATGGTGGTGTTTCCCACGCTGCTTATGCACAGTTCTCTATATATCTCTGCATTTGTCAGTTTGATATACGACCTAAGTTTGACTTATGTTTTTGTTGTCATGTGACGCAAGTATTGGCAAGTATACGATCTACGTTTATGCCACATTATTGTTTATTTTGCTGCAATGAATATTTCTGAACATTTCCCAATTTAAAATAAAAATATGTTCCCAGATATTGTTAATAATAACAGCTAATGAGGGTGTGTATGTAAACATATACAGTAGGTACGTCTATATGGGGTGATTCATGGTGGATGGTGATGGAGACATCAACTTGTATATTTTAGATGGGACACTCTGTCTACCTATTACTAGATTTTGAATTCTACTAACAATTTCTGGTTATTTTTGCATAATACAACCCTAATACTTAGTGATTTTCGAGGAGTAAATTATTTGCCTAATTTTTTGTTCAAAACATGGCCCCAATTAAATCTTAATTTCAATGTGTAAGGGGTTGCAATTTATGCTGGTGTTTTACGTAGTCAAGTTCAATTTCACTTTTTTAAATGGAACGCTGTGTAGCATGAGTAGTAATGACATTGTTAATCAATCAATCTGAAAGTTTCAAAAAGCTCATAATGGAGGGAAATTTTATCCATAATTATTGAAATGTTTTTATGATTGTCCAAACATCCCTTCGTTCATTGATTGTAAATCAAAATACGTTTTATTTAACTTTCTCCATATTCTTGCTATTATTTGGAAACATTGTTCCTGAAAAATAAATAAATTCATCAAAACTTTATTTGAGTAGTTCTCTCCCTTATTTAAATGTTCAATCGAATTCATTTATATGGATAACTAAGGCAAATATATCAATTTGTAGACAAATTTGATTTTATTTACGAGTTCTTAATATTTAGCATAGGAACATGACATATCATTTAAAGCAGTTTTTTATTGTCTTCCAGAACAGTTGATAAAGTATTTAACTTTTTTTTTCTACATGTCTACGAATTTCAATAGGCGACTGTTTCTTGTATAAAACACAGTCGTGTTTTGAACAAAACATAAGGGAGAATAATTAACTTCTAGAAAAACCACTAAAGATTAGGGAGGTATTATAGAAAAATAACCATGTCCAATTTAAGATTTCCTTTTTTCCGCAACGTTGAATCGCTGAAAATATATTAGATAGATCGTCCTCGCTTATGCAATCAAGAAAATTTTCAGAACTGTCTTGTCTCGTTCATTATAAACGTCTAACTTGTCATCCAATATGCATCACCCTGTATAAAGGAAAATAGTTTCATTTCCTCGAATTGATCATTTAGATGGATAAAGATGAATTTGTTCACAGTGGTGTAAGGATAACTTAGCTGATCGCTACAGCAACTCGCAGAATATTTGTACACATCAAAGAAAACCAAGTGTGTACTTGAAGGACAAACTTATTTTACTGCAATCTTAATAGATTAATTAATTTATGCGGATTTAAGGATTCAATATTCCTTTTGAAATAATGTTTTTTAACAACAATTCTAATTATTAATTAAATCTGTTAACTGTCTAACTATCCAACTCCAAAGTTTCTTTGTTGATAGCATAAGTAAAAATGTGTAAAGGCGTTGTATAGCATATTTCTAAATTAGGTGATTGCTAATAACAAATCGGGGACTGAAAACTTTTTTTACAAAAGAACAGAATACACTGGACTTATCAGCATTTTTCTAAAATTCATCAAAGATCGTGAATTCTACAACATCATCAACAAAACTGCTTGCTGTCCTTATCTAAGTAATTTGAGGGTTTAGAGGCTTCGTAAAATCTTGGAATTATTATTCCACCTTTCTCCGCATCTTCCTTCTTAACAGGAAAAATTACTATCACTTTTTTCCAAATTATTACTTAAAAATTTTGCGAAAATTTATTTTAACTCCAAAAAAGGTAAGTAAATATGGTATGTATCTGAACAAAGCTTAATTTTTTGCATTCAATCCAAATGTAAAATAAGGTTCCTGCACGTTTCTATTTATTCTATTTAAACAAAGTCAGCTATTGCTATTGAATACTTTATACTCTTTTTATTGTGCAGCAAAAATTCATGATTAATCCGGTATGTTAGTAATAAATATATCTAAAATCCTAAGTTACTTAGCAAATACAGCTCCATGCTAACCATCAAGTTATGAAGACTACATTCGAGTAAACATTTCCCTCCATTATGAGCTTTTTGAACACTTTCAGATTGATTGATTAACAATTTCATTACTACAGTGGTGGACTTTGCATTCGCATCGCATTTAATCTTTGGCCATCCAGCTTGCCGTCGGTATGACAATGTGTGACCTTTCTCACCCATGAGCATAATCACTTATTGTAAATTTTGAGTTGTTGACCGAAATAATATCGTAATGAAAATTGTCACATTATTAACATAGAGTAAGTGCATTAGAGGATTAAATGGTGATAAGATACAGTCCATTAGACCAATAATAATTTCCAGCAATATTTTTGGAACTTATGTACGTTCAGTCAGGAATATTGTATATAAATCCCGCGTAATGCTAAACGCCAATGACAAAAGTGCTTTTGTCACTCTAAATCCCTCTCTAGGGAACAATGGCGACTGGCCGCCCTTAAGTCACTATATCGTCGCACCCCAACACAGACCATTACAGGACGTGACAGCTGACAATAGAGGATTCACCGAGCGAAGAAAGAAAACAGTAAGGTTCGACCACAACGACGGCAGTAGGCAAGGTTCACAAGACTCGCATAGAGATTCGGGAATTGACACGTCTTCCACGTTCACTAGTAGTGAAGATTCGACAAGGGGAGATTTACCCAAGGTGCCTAGATAACACGTCATCGTTGTAGTTGTCCCGTAGATTTCGGCGCTTATTACAAAGTTTTGCTAGAGGATGATAGAAGTTCGCCATACGTGAAAATGTCTTTGGGATGAAAAATGTTATAGTCTCGAAACATATTCAGCTGATAAAAGACGCGAATGTCGTATGGTTTAATGGACGTTACACAGGGTTTCTCACGGTAGCCTTTTGGTAAAGGTTTTAGTGGATAGAATAAACTTACAATTCTGATCGATTCAAGGATTATTCAATATTGTTTTTCCTAACAAAACTTGATAGTTTGTTTCGTCATATTCGCCCGTACCTATTTTGTACAGTTTCTTAGAAATCCTAACTATTTTGACAACTTTTAAAAACTAGACACTATGTAATTTACCAATGGATATTTCCGATACGGTACGACCTTGAAAATATTTTTAAATAAAAGAGAATTTGAAATAACTGCGGCGTCCACAATATTGAGAATAGTTTTTTTTTCTATACAATTCTAACTTCTAACGAATAGGCGCTCTGAGAAACTTTTTATAATGACGATTTAACAACAACCCCAAATATTGTATCAAAACAAACCAAATGTGCATTAATACTATTTCCATATTTCAAATTCGCGGGTATTTTAGATAGTTTGGATTTATTTTAGTTAATATGACGTCAAACTGTCACAGGTGTTGTTCCTGGTTATACGTCATCTACAACGCTCAGTGAATGGAATAAACTGTTACCATCATCCTACAATTAGTGAATTAGTAGTGTCACTGTAAACACTGACAATTCTAAAACTCTATCGTGATTAGCTACAACCAACTTGAGTAAAACACATTCTAGCGTCTTCGCCAGCGTTCATTATTCAGCAGATTTCTAGCAATTTAATGAAAACTTGTCGAATCTCCTGTTATATGTATTGTCATTGATGGTAATCTCATCTCTCATGTTTAGTCACTTTCGTTATATCTACATTTGACTGTCGCAGTTAAAACCTGGCTAATTTGATAATGCTGGAAATAAAGTAAAAAATGTTGAACTTAATTTGGGAAATGCAATTATCAATTTTCTCTATAATAATTACTGTTTTCCCGAAAATTAACTGAATATCTAGAACCTACAGTTAATTTTACTAGGTTTGTAAATATCAACCAGAATATACAAAGGGTGATTTAATAAAAACCAACAAAACTATGTAAAAATTCTTACCTTCAATCCACACAAACATCCCGACGCAGCCGCTAAACTTGTTAGCAAATTATCAATAATTTTATATGGGATGTCTAAAAATGTTGAACTTAATTTGGGAAATGTAATTATTAATTTTCTCTATAATAATTACTCTTTTCCCGAAAATTAACTGAATATCTAGAACCTACAGTTAATTTTACTAGGTTTGTAAATATCAACCAGAATATACAAAGGGTGATTTAATAAAAACCAACAAAACTATGTAAAAATTCTTACCTTCAATCCACACAAACATCCCGACGCAGCCGCTAAAGTTGTTAGCAAATTATCAATAATTTTATATGGGATGTCACAATCTCATATCGTGCAGTTCTTTAGATTTTTGCTTTTATTTTGAATAACATTTAGCAAAATTCAATACTACCACAAACGAAAAAAGCTGGTTTTAAAAGGGAGGAAACTTTATATTTAAGGGTTCTTATTTTTTTACAATGTAATGAAGGATACCACCATAAGACCGAGAGCCAAATCACGTACTCAGAAGTTTCTAAAAATTTGAATTGAACTATTAAAACGTATGGGAAATCAATGTAATCAATAATTCAGATAAATATAAAAATGTCCAGTTCCAAAAAGCCTATTTTTTATGGGTACTTCCTTAGATGGACATCAAAATTTTGTATCCGAAAACTAACCAAAACTAACCAAAATTGGTTAAAAATACATAAAAAGAAAAAAAATCGCATACGGAATGATTGCCCATAAATTACCAGTTTATTGGCTTTACCTGAACTTATTAGTAATAAAAAGGAAGTTGCGGTTAAAAATCAGAACTCAAAAAGGCCCTTGTACTCCAGACTATTTGCTTAATAGGACATTGAGCAATTTATAGCTAATTACAATTTGTTTCCTCTACTATTTTTATTAAGGGTTTTATTAAGAAATATAAAGTCTATTTATGCTCGATATGTTAAAATTATTTTTTTTTTGGCATTTTTTTGCACACATATAAATTTGAATACATATATTCTAGTTGTACAAAATACGTAAAGAGGGGAATAGATTGTTGCTACACACAGGTGTCTATTTAAATTAATAGTTGGCTAATTGTTAGGTGCTTCTATTCTATGAGATAATTTTGTCAGTATCACTCAAACCTTCTCACTGAAGACGATAATCCTAAAGATCTTTAAAACTGCATCTTTCTTTATCAAGTCCTCGAGTTACCTGGACACATTACATTAAAAGAAAGGTCATTCAAGTGATTTTTAAAATTTATTAAGCAAATAAAGAAATAAAAAATTAGGTGCCTTAAAATTGAATTCATTATTTTCTCTATTGAATTTACTTAATTCTACCCGCTGCTCCCAATTCGCAATTATTTTAGTTATTTCTTTCTTTTTCTAACAGGTTTTTGAACACTGGACCCACCCAAACTAACCAAAATTAACCAAAACTAATCCAAATTAATCATAACTAAAAAAAACTAACCAAAATTAATCTAAAGTCAATGGTACTAAACACCTGGTCCCAACCACCATGACTCAAAAATAATCAAAATTGTCAGAGACTGGCGAAAACAGGAAAAAATGAAATGTATAATAATAATAAAATAGCAGTGTTACTGTTATTGTTTAAAAATACGTTTTAGCCTAACTTTGACTTCAAGATCGATTGAATAAATTTCTAAAGAAATGAATAAACGACATGGAACCGAATTCCTTAACATATCAAAATTGCGGTTCTGAAAAAAACCGTTTTTCGTAGATAAATATACTGTCCAACTCGACGCTAATTTATTTGCAATTGGTGTATTCGGCGCTTTCATTCCTTCGCTAACAGTGTGCTTAGCCAACTCTCCGGGCAACAATGATCTCACGGCTGATTTAATCTCTCTCCTGGTAATAGTGGATGGCTTATTATAGTGAGCCAAACGAGAAGCTTCGGCGGCAGTACCTGAAGAAAGACCAGAATGAGGATTATTAAAACATTAAAAAAGCAAATCTTGTCTCCGACGCAAAAGTTCTCTTATTGCATCCATTATTTGCCCCCTTCAATAATCCCCTCGACTAAATAATAATTCAAAAATTTTAAAAAGGTATTAAAAAAGCTTTTAGGCCCCCAGCCACTAAGACCACTTCAAAAAAACTAAAAGAAATTCATTTTTCCCATGTAATAAATTATTTAGTAATTTGGCCGTCTACCAAGTTCGCTGGCAGCCGCAACTGCAACAGTCACCAAGATGGTAGTGTTTTCTTTTAAATTTAAAATTTATCGCTGCGGTCTCAGAACATATAAATCACAAATTTTACATGCGAATGCTGTGAACTAGTTTCTCGTTTGCGTATGCAATTAGTATATTTATACAAACGGTTTCTCTTATTCATGTTATATATACAAAGTTTAGTACAGCTGGATCATGGATACTTTACTAACTGTCTAAGACAACTTAAACGACAGATATTTTTGTTTTGTTTATTTCTTTTTATTTTTGTGAATATTGTTATTGTATTGCACCTCTTAAAACGCTCAAATCCCAAATTTAATAATTTCGTCTCTGTCTATAAAATTTCTATAACGATTTAAAGTTAAAACATTTTTCAAATTCTATTTTTACCTCAAATATCCCAGTTGTGGAGGAATTATTTAAATAAAGAATTATTCATAAATTATTAGAAAAAAATAATATTGCAGTGGAAAATTCGGCGAATGTTGGCGATCTTCTACTCCGGGGTGACTACAAATAAACAGAAACAAATAAAATTGTTTATTAAGAATAAGAGAGGAATAATGAATCACTTAGAATATAAAACCAGTTAAGTTGTTTAAAAGGATGTAAATGTATTTGCAGTTGATTCGTATGCCCATAAAAAAGAAAACGACCAATTGCGAATTTTTGAAATGACCACCAGGGTAATTCTCCTATCTTGATTTTTAAAACTCGGTTTCTACAAAGTTCTATAATTGACTACAGTCAGAGAAAGTATTGCTTTAAATCTGAGACAAATTCATTTTTTTTATTTAATTCTCTTTGCTGTATCTGTGCAAAGAAAATGGTGCTTAATGAATTTTAATAACTTTTTTTTAGCATACATTAGGTTGGTGGGCCCTTGTTATGATATAAAAAACAGTTTAATCGATGCATTGTTTTCATAGAATGTTTTTTTTGCGAATATGTCGGAAAAAGCGATCTGGTGGCAAAATAAGCAGTGGCAATCGCTTCACTCACGATGATTAAAATGTGTTAATTCTTTTTGCAGTTATTTACTTCTTTTAGAGCAAAAAGCACTAAACAAAAAATAATTGTCGCTTGGCATAGTATATCGCGGCCCTTTCTGGGACAAAATTATTAATAAATTTCGGCAAAATTTGTAAACTCGCGAAATAATGATCTTCTGCCATGATGATTATTGGAAACAATTGTTTCAAATTTTTACTTTTCAACCATGTTCCACAATATACTTCTTTGTGTTATCGAATTTTGAATATTAACAGTAAACGGTAAATGGTTTTTGTTGCATTGGAGGTTAACATACAAAGATAAAAACTCCATTCTCAACAATTCCATAAAAAAAATTGACTCCTGAAATAAGGAAGGAACCACGAAGAAATTGGCAAATGCTATGGACGTAACTAACCATGGCAATCATTGCGAATTAGACTCACTTAACGCTGAGCTAAAGTTGCACTAAATCAATCCTTCAACGACGGAAAACTGAAACTGGAATGTTTTATATTAATCATTATTAATTCTAACTTATGCGGTAGTGCATGCTTTACAGGCTTCTTTCTTGTTGTAATATGTCTTCTACGTGAATACATTTTTTTACTGCATGAGAGTTAAAGTAAGCAATTGATGCTAAAAACCTTTGGTCTAATCGAATAAGTGTCTCAAATTGTGATTGTGATTTTTAATTAGCACCCGTTGTCCTGGCAATTATCTGCTGATGGTACTCGCATGATTGGTCATATGATCTTGAGAAGGGGCAGTGGAGAAGCTACGGGGTCCAGCGCTTCAATACTGGGGTTAAAAGTAGTAGGAGGAAAAATTTTAGAAAATGGTTCTAGCGGTGCCCTCATTGAGAAAGTTAAGAAAGGCAGTATCGCGGATGTTGAAGGCCAATTAAGACCCGGTGAGTTGGAGATGTAACGTTCGTTTTCTTTTTAACTACGTTACACATAGTATTACCATGAAGTTGCCTCTATTTCATAAATCCCTTTCAATAAAAGTCACCTGAAGGTCGTAGGTTGAGTCAACTTTCCTGCATTTATTGTTAGTATAAACTTCTTCAGTATCTCAGTTAGTTGTTGACAGATTAGTTATAAAAATTAATTTTATTTTAGTGTTTTAACTTTTCAAAGAAACTTCCACAGGCCACTGTAATATTTCCTGTTGGCTTCTTCAGAGCTTGACTGAAACTGGCTCGCATTTTACTCTATACCTGCTTATTTATTGTTTGAGGGGGCGGAGCTAAATGAGGGGCAAGCAAGTTCGACTCAGCAAAAACCGACGCAGGAAGTTTTGCAAAGAGTGTTTTAACTTGTTTCACTAGTAGTTTAATTCATAATTAATGTCTGAAAAATTGGGTAATTTAATTATTAATCATACTATCAAACGTTAAAACGATTTCAGTAAAATGTGTAATGTTTAAGTGTTTTCGTCTAATGCGAACTGCTGAATAAGTTTATTTCAACAATAAACGAAATATTTTATATAAGCATAGATAGACCTGTTGAAAAAAATAGATATTAAGGTTTTGATTGATTAAAGAATTAGGAATATCATTCAAATAAGCGGGTGTTGTCTCTACATTATGTATGCAAGTATGGCAAAATATAAAATTGCAAAATCCTCTTGAAATTTCTTAAGTAAGGTATTGTAAAAATATACCTGTTGTTAATTAGTCTAGAGGAACTTCTCAGGACATTTGTTCACTTTTGTTCAGGTTCTGGTATTGACATGTAATTTCAGTGCAGAAAATAGTAATGGTATATGATAAAAATACTCTTTACATAACATTAAATTAAATGTCAACAGCAGAACCTGTTAGAATAAATATCAGCGTGGTTGATAATTTGTGCTCTATTTCTAACGTTAATCGTGATTTGCTTCGCTTAAATGCGATGTTAGTTGTGTGTCAAGTTTAATTCTATTTTTAAAATAACTATATATAATGAAAATTGTATTTTTTTTTTAATTGGATGGCAAACAAACGGGGGAATGAAGGTGTATGCTTAGCAGCAACCTTATCCCCAGAATGAATTCGTAAATATCTTAAGTTTTTTTATTCCTCTTTTTATTCATTTTATGTATTTTTTTACATATATTTTATTTATGAAAATATAAGTAAAAATTTTGAGAAAAAAGTGCGACTTTGTGTTCTTTCCAAAAAACTCTCCGCATCAAGGACATCAAAAATCTGAATCCAGAATTTATAAATTATTTTGCATTGAGCAAATCCGGAGTTATCTGTATTAATTATAAAATCATTCTGAACCTCAGCCACCACTTTATTTCAAAAGTTAAATTTCTGTAAGCCATTTTTTTTGCAACTTTTGTTACGGACATCGTTTTTCCACATCTGTACAACAAATATCTTTGGATATTTACCCGGCCGATGCCTTTAACTGAACACCTTGTACATTTTTAACTGTAGATGGGCAACATTTTTATTTAAATTTATTTTTTTCACATTTAATCATTTGAAATATGACTAATTAACATTTTATGTTGTTGCCCAGATATTACGCGTTTTTTGATATCTGAAACAATAATCTAATCTTCCTTTGCCAGGCGATGAATTGGTAGAGTGGAACGGCAGATTACTGCAAGGCAAGTCTCATCAAGAAGTAACTGACATTATAGCCGAAAGCAAACACGAGATGAATGTCGAACTTATAGTGGCGCGAAGTATGGGCAGCAGACGGATTGCCCAAGCTACTTGGAGGCAAACGGCAACGCATAGAGGTATAAACCAAACTAACCACAACTAATCGTCATTTAGTAGGTACAATTTTTTGGTTTATTGGATTTGGTTTTCAGGTGACACCTTCGTTGCAGGTAAAATATTAAATTATCACTGTAACACTTACGAGCACCAAACACACCGCTGGAACTTAAACTCACACGTTACACCTAAAATATTATTGTATTTGTATTTGTTTTGTTTTGTGCCAATGTCCAGTCCTCTAGATCGTAGTATTAGATAAAAATGGGAGCAACAACTGTGTGTTTCGGACTCGCTATAATTTCGTGGCTGTTATACCTGACTAAGACTGTAATATATTTCTTATTTGCGTTTCACGTTTGAAAGTTTAGCGGACGCATTGCTTTTAAAACCAGTCACAAGCAAATGAAGTGGCACTCTTGAGTATCAGCTGTGGATCATTCGATTTGCAATTCAATCAAAAAAATGAGACAGCATCGAGTATTATAGAGTCACCATTTTATTTTAACGCACGAATCTAACATTCACGACTTCTTTGCGCGGTCATTTCATCCATCTCTTGAAGTCCTAAATAAATCTTAGAGGATCGTATTAAGTTTTTAGTCCATTTCGCTGAATTAATTTTCTACAACTAAATGACTGCGAATCCGAATGAAATCGAATGGTCGCTGTGGATCTTAGTGGAACCCGCACAGATACATTGATGATTACACAAATGTGGATTTTTTTTATAGCACAAACCTTTGTTATATCTTTTAGGGCAGGTAGCCGGTCAATGGCCTCCCGAAACGGAAGTGTACGAGCGACCTCACGTGCTGGTGACCTCGCCGGGCAGTCCAGAACGTCAAGATGCGTCTGCATCTTTGCATGGACCTAGTAGTGTAGGGGGGCGCGTTCAGGTACTGTGTTCTCATGTTTTATTTGGCGACTCGTGAAGCAGCCCATTTTTTAGATTCGTCTCGGTTTTGATTCTGCATCACTTCAATTATTGGTCACCATAGTATGTGCAGCAGGTTTGACGCCAAGAGCGGGCCACCAGCCTAGAAACCCTTACTGTAAACTTTTTCTTCTGCCAGATCGATCGGAGAAAAGTAAGAGACGGACCCGGACATTAGCTGGTAAGAAATATTGGTTAATTATATTTCTTTCTATACAGTAAGGAACTAAAATATTACACTAGGAATTTGCGTTTTTGAAAGTGTGATTACCAACCAAGTATATCATTTCAATCTTATTAAAAAGGCTGATTTATTGTAGTCACACGAAATACGAGTTATAATAACAATATTTTACTCTATCACTTATAAAGAAAACGACAGTACAAATTGACATTTATAATATTAATTTGAGAATATAGGAAAAATTAAAAGTAAACGAATCAGTAACTAGAACAGTATCAAGAAACACAAGTTAGTTTGTTTTGTCATTTGTATTTTTTTATGATACTTCGATTTCTAATGTTTATTAATTTCGCTATATACCGATAGTACCGAATTGTGGTTAATATAGAAAACAGAGAACACATTTTATCATGTTGGGTAGGGTAGGGAACTGACAATTTTTGATCAGCCGAACATAACAAGACACAAAAGACAAAAATATATGATTTGCCTTTTCTGGTTAAAAAAAATGCCACCTGGAAATTATATAAAACGTGGGGCATCGTTTTTACGGGTGGCTTTTAGTGGTGACATGTTAACTGCATCCACCAGAAAAAGTGAATCCCCATTTCTGTTAGTTTTAGCAGTTTTATGTGCAAAAGCAAAATTTAAGAACAAAGTTTTCAATTGAACAGAACCTATAAACGGATAAATAAAATCCAAGATTAGGACGAACAGATTTGTTTGCTTCATAAAACTTATCATACATTTAGTTTTTTTAGCATATCTTTATATTTCTATGCTCGATGACATATTTTCAAACGAAAGTTTGATGCGGATTAGCAAATTCGTAAATTCCATAGTTTATGTCTATACAGGGTGGAACAGGTTTTAGAGAGCTAACTCCTTACAGCTGATATGATACTATTTTCTAAGAGAAGAAGAACAACATGATTTTTATAACTTTATGTCACATTTATTCAATTTCATACATATTTTTTAAGGGTTAGAGGACATTTTATGATGCTTTCTTTCTTAAATATGACAGTGGCCTCTGAAAGGCGTTAAAATGAACATTTTTGAAAGAAAAAGGATACAATATTGTTCGTACACGAAATTCTTAGATATGGCTCAAATATGACTATATATTTTGAATTAGCGTAACTCAAATAATTTTTTCAGTTAGAAATATTAAACATTTTAATCAATAATGGAATTTACTCCTTAAAATTAATACTTAAACTTTAATAAAAGTACTGAATAATATTCTTTAATGAAACCGAAAAAAATATTATAAAGAAATAAAATACTTATGGTTCCTATGGTTTATGTTTGTTTCTCAGTGGTTTTGAATTCAATAAACGTCTAGTGTTCAAAGATTTTATTACCTGGTGCCCTTAAAGTGATTCTTATTAGCTTTGATTAATAGAGCACTATCATTTGCATTCCAATTCTGAAAGACAAGTTCTCCTTGGCTGCTTCGGAATTAAATATGCCTCTGTTAAAGAAGGATAACGTACCTACATGTTATAAACTATGGAAAAAAACTTAATAAACAGATTATAGCATTCAATCGTGCTTACCGATCAAATTTTCGGTTATGTATTTCTAAATGGGGACCGATTCTAAATACCCCAACCATTATACGAGGTTATCGCCAAAATTTCCGGGCCTGACATAGATGCAGCTCCAGTATGACGATAAAACTTTGCCTTCTTTGAAATATGTATATTAGTAGGCTGCGAAAAAAAATTGCGTCTTGCAGTTTTTGATTGACAGCATTTTAAATAAGACGTGTCCGAAAAAATATTGCACATGACGCAAATTGAGTATAGAGCAGTCATAAAGTTTTTGACAAAAGAAGGGTTAGCACCTAAAATTATTAAAGAAAGGCTGGATGGTGTGTACGGCCAAAGTTATCCTTCGTATTCTGTAGTGAAAGAATGGGCACAACGTTTTCGAATGGGTCGGGAGTCCCTTGAAGATGATTCAAGAATTGGTCGAACAGTGGAGGTCATAACGGAAGATATTGTTGCGATTATAGAAGAGGTGGTATTGAGTGATCGACGTTTAAAGGTCAAGGAAATCTCAGAAATTATTAAGCTTTCTGATACAAGTGTTCTTCGAATCCTGCATGATCATCTAGGTATGCATAAGGTTAGTGTAAGATGGGTTCCTAAAAACCTTTCGGCTATTCAAAAACAACGCCGTGCCGAGTGTGCGCGGTCTTTTTTGGAACTCTGGTGGTCGGAACCGAAGTCTGTGATAGAAACTATTGTGACGGGAGATGAAACTAGAGTTCTCTATTATGACCCTCTATCGAAAAAAGAATCAATGGAATGGCGTCGTAAGGGTGAAGCACCCCCAAAGAATTCAGAGTCTGCCAGTCAACAAAACAAAAAAAAAATGTTTTGATAGATTTTAAAGAAAGTAATACCACCGTCAATGGTAAATATTACGCAATATTATTACATAAATTTCAAGACTGCATACGTGTAAAACGCCTAGGAAAACTGACCAGAGGCGTCCGTCTTTTGCACGATAATGCACCTGTCCATATTGCTGGTGTTGCACAAACTGCCATTTTAGAGTGTGCGTTCCAACAGATAGATCTTCCTCCCTATAGTCCAGATATGGCCCCCAGCGACTATTATTTGTTTGGATATTTAAAAAAGGACTTACGTGGACGGCGGTTTAACGACGAAGTTGAGTTAAAATACGCTGTTTTAGCTCATTTTGCAGATAAACCAAAATAATATTTTTTTAAAGGGACCGAGTTGTTAAAGAAGAGACGTAATAAGTGTATTGAAGTTAAGGGAGATTATATTGAAAAATAATAAAAAATTGTTACTCTACTCTGTTTCTTTCATATTCAGGCCGGGAAATTTTGGCGCTGCCCTCGTATATCACCTTCACAACTTGGCGTCCCCAAATCTGTTTCAAGAAGCTTTACAGAATATGTGCTAATAATCGGCCAAATTAACCTAAGGCGCAACCGATTGGCCAGCTCAAGTGCATAGCACCTAATGATCCCTTTTAAAATTGAAGATCTGAGATTTTCGATTTAAGCATTGCATTTTTACATTACTTTAACTGATTTTTGAGACTTCCTAGATATATAATATAAAATGATTTGAAATAGAAAGCATTAGCTTATTATGTTTAATGATTTGGCAAATTATTCATTTTAAGATTATGATAGAATTGAATATCTGGTCTGATATACTCAATATGAACGCAAAATTTTGTTTTGGATTGAATCTTACGCTTTCGACCCAAGAAAAAAATGTTGAACAAATATGATTTCATGAATGAAGAAAATTTTGTCTGTAATGAAAACCGCTTCCATGCATTTTGTAAGTAAAAATAATTGTTGATAAATAACTTCCGACAATTTAAATTGATAGTGAGGGTTATTTTTTAATCTGTCCTTTCGGTATCTTTATTTCTTCGTTTTTGTAACTCGAAAACTAAGCAATTTAGGAGATTTGCTTTTATGCACATTTTTTAAAAAAATGGGTTCTTTTTTTTTGTACGAGTTTTTGTCCACCCTGTACAATTTGCAAATTTAGCTATGAGTAACTTATAGCTCCTTTTACGATCCATGTTCTTATGAAGTTACTTTTAATCCTTGGGGTAGTTCCATAATTTGTAATTTGAATAATGTATTCACTACAAGCAACATTGTTCAAAGCCAGTTATTTGTTTCTTGGAAACCTTTACGAGAAATGATTTACTATCCAAGTTCGATTATTAGAATTTAATTATTGAAATTCTCATGAAAGATTTTCTTCCTAACGAAATTGAAACCTTATCCACTATCGCAAAAATATATTCCGTACTATCTCTAAATAAATTATTCGGCAAAATTTGCTTCGTGAAAACAAAGGGACTCGAAAAATCCCAATCGATCACAGAAATCTTGGCAACTTTAAAAGCAAAGTCACGGTCAAATGAAAAGCTCCATCCAAAATTTCTATTATCGTTACTTCCTCTATCTTAGAGCCTCTCGAGTGATATATTGAGCACAGCAGATATAGTGGGGGAAATAAGTTGGCAGCGTATGTAACATGCAGATTATCAGGAAATATCAGTGTGTTCGAAGCGACACGTTTTACCGGCTCGCAAATATGTCGGGACGTGATTCGAAGGTAAACTGCGGAATTAGATACGTTGATTTTCTAGTTATTTTTCGGTTTGCTTACTTTATGGAATAATTTTTGAGGATGTGGCGAGTATTTTGACATGAGTGCGATATCGTACAATATTGGGCTATTTCATTAAATTTTATGCTAAACTTATACACTACTGAATACTTTTAATAAAAAATTTGGACCGTTATTTTTCTGAAGCATCTTGTTTTTAACTTTTAATTCATTGTGATAAAGATATCTAGAAAACTATTTTTTTTTATCAAATTCAATTCTAGTGAGATTAATTAAAGTCTTTAAAATTATGTTTTCAAGACAATGGGGCAACGAGTAAATAAAAATTGCGGACGCCTTTCAAAGGTCCATATCAAGGCTTATTTCCACATTTGTGGCGATTTTTGATACCTATACCAGTTTCTTTTAATTAATTTATATTTTAACTTAATTCATTTAATTTTAATGAATTGTAACAGCAAGTGTTAAATTTAACATTTCTGTGTTTTTTCTTCTAATTTGAGCTCTCTTTCTCTTCTCTATGCACTCTTTTTCATTTTTCATTTCTCCCATTCTTCTCTTTCCTTCTATTGTCTGCATAATATTCACTTTCTTTGACCTTTTTCTAGCCAATAGTTATTCTTATAATAGTTATGCATATCCCCTTATTTCCACACCTAAACTTCGCTCTACTGATGCAAAGTTACCATTAGCTTCGGGTAGATTTGAAAAATCTGCTTCGCAAAAATATTTTGAAATGAAGATTAACACCCATCATCAATGTCGTATTTCCCTTTATCAGTCTTGTTAATAATGATGAAAAAACCTTTTAAATGTGTTCTGTTTCTGTATAGAAATGAAATTTGCAAAAACAGTGTAATAACGTGAAAAATTGTTACTGGCAGGTACCACTGAACCTATGTGGAACCAAACCTTTGTATACTCGGGATTACGAAGAGCAGATCTCAGGTTACGAGCATTAGAAATTACCGTATGGGATTATGTTCGGTACGGCGCTAACGACTTCCTCGGCGAGACCATAATCGAACTGTGGCCACTCGACGAGCAACCCACCTGGAGGACGCTGGGCCCTCACGAAGAAGTAAGCCCGTTATTTTAATCCGCCGGTGTAGTTTTGTTACTAATTCGTCGTAGGTTGCTCTAACGCCAAGCGAACATCTTTCGCCTCCAAGTACAGGCAGTCGATTTTCGGATAGCGATACACCGTCCGAGTGTGAAATAGACGGCGGTAGAGAAAGAAGGGGAGCCGATGGCGCTAGTGTAAGTAGCGTAGGTAGTTCGTCGAGCCCCCCTAGAGAAACGGAAAGGAGATCGAGAAGGGATCAAGAACCAATGCAATCGTACAATCAGCATTATAGGCGGGTGAGTATTACCACGATTGCACAAGGTATATCGAAAAAGTGACGTTTGTTTATAAATGAAAAAAAAAAACAAAAATGCGTAAATAAATAATGGTAAAAGTTGGCAGTTTGAAGAACTGCATTAGCGTTTATATCGCGCAAATTAAAACTATATAGACTTAAAATCTGGTAACTGAACATTTATCGGAATACAAAAGTAGATATGCCGGGAGATGCTTTCTGAAGTATTTGGTCGTCGAAGAAGGAGGAAAAGACACAATTAACTAAAGTAAGCTAAATATGGAAAGACACATTACTCACATCTTTTCTTCTCCAACTGCCTATCGGTTGCAGATGTTGGCGATCAGCATAGCTATTTCTACTTTGTTGATGGGGATTCGGAAAAGTCCTACTGCTGATTTGTTAAACCGCGTTCTAAGGTTTGCTAACCAAGATATTCTCCTTCGACCCGGTGCTCACTTGCTGTTGAGTTTGCCTCGGAGGATTTGTTGTAATAACCCATATCTATCTGGGTTCCTCATTATGTGACCGAGATACTGAAGTTTCCGACATTTTACGGTATCAAGCAGTTCTGTTTCTTTATTCATACGTCGCAATACTTCTATGTTGGTTATTTTTTGTGTCCAAGATATTTTCAATATACTCCTGTGCAGCAATAGTTCGAATGCTTCCAGTCTCTTGGTGGTTTCTTTAGTGAGTGTTCAAGTTTCTACGCCATACAGAAGGACCGAGAACAAGTAGCAACGCAATAGTCTGAGTTTCATGTGTAAGGACCGATTGTGACTCTTAAAAAGCGAGCTCATTTAATAAATACTGAGCGAACCTTCTCGATGCGACATCGTATTTCTTGAGAGTTGTCCCAGTTCTCGTTTATGGTTGTCCCCAAGTATGTGTACTGCTTTACGCTTTGTATTCTACTCTGGTTTATATATAAATTGTCTTCTGCGACGCCTCTTTTAGTTACTACAAGGAGTTTAGTTTTGTTTATATTCATTCCCAACCCGTACTGTGAGCTAGCCTCAGTCAGTTAGTTTTTGTAGTCCTTGTCATCTGGGTACCTTATGTTATTTAGTTTAGCACCATTTATGGTTATTCCTTCTTGAATACTGTCAAGAGCCTTTTTAAAGATGTACACGTTAAATAGGATAGGGGATAAAATACATCCCTGAATTACCCCTCTCAATATTTTTATTAGTTCTGTGTGCCCGCCGTCAACTCTTAAAACTGCCGTCTGGTTCCAATACAAATTTATAATTATGTTTAAATCTTTAGGATTCATTCCTATCTTCTTTTGTGTGTCGACGATTTTATTACGTTGGACTCGGTCAAATGCTTTCTGATAGTCTATCAAGCAAGCAAACATATCATAGCTGTGGTCCCTGCATCTCTGAAAAAGCACTTGAACACTAAATAGGGCCTCTCTTGTGCCAACGGCATTCACAAATCTAAACTGATTTGGTGAAATCTGTTCTTCACAAAGTCTATATATTCTTTTGTGTATTATCTTAAGAAATAACTTTAAGAGATGACTCATTAAGCTTATTGCTCTAAAATCACCACAAATTTTCGTACTTGCTTTTTTGGGGAGTGTGATGAATTCTGACTTCAACCAGTCTGCCGGAATTTCCCGTGCTGAATAGATGTTGTTAAATATTCGAGTCAACCATTTTGTTTTATCCTCATTCAGTAGTTTTATAAATTCAGTCTGTATTTGGTCGAAACCAGCTGCCCTTCGTGGCTTCATTTCCGATATGGCGGCTCTCACCTTATCAACCAGAATTTTCGGCCCTTCACCTTCAGCTGTCTGTTGTTCCTTGCGTGCATCATCGAATAAATTCTCCAGATATGTTTTCCAGATCTCCTTTTTCCTCTCAGCGTCAATCATGATTTCTCCTGCTTCGTTAACCAGGGCTTTACTCTTGTTTTTTTGGCATTTCCTTGTTTTTTCTCGGACTTTCTTGTGAACATTGAAGTCTTCATGTATGTTTTGGTGGTGTTCTATTTCACGACATTTTTCTAGAAGATAGTTTTCTTTTACTTTCCTTATTTCTTGCCGGATGATACATTGTATTCGATTATATTCGGATGGATTTTCTTTCTTCAGTTTTCTTTTTTCTATCAAATTTAATATTTCTGTCGTCATCCAAGATTTTTTCATTATTTTGTTTGGTTTACTGTTTTTACTGCTCGTTGTAATTTGGGGAGTTCTAGATCACCGTTGTTGTTTTCGTTTGGATGACTGCTATCGTTGAGCATTATCGCTGCCGCTACCTTTATTGTCGGGATTTTAAGTCTCTGGAGGTCATAGCTTGGAGTCTTTTTAGTTTCGACCTTCTTCATTTTAACCTTAAATACGCCAACTAGGGGACAGTGATCTGATCCAACGTCAGCTCCTGGATATGTTTTGACAGATAGGTGGCTATTCCTAAACCTCTTATTCGTCCAGGTTCATCCATAGGAGATTTTCACGTATATAATTTTCTGGGTGGTAGTTTAAAGCATTACAACGAGTTCATTCGTTTCTGCAAAAACTTCCAGTGTGTCTCCTCTTTTGTTTCTTTCACCCAGCCCATATGGTCCCACAAAATCCGATGTGCGACCCTCTCCCAATTTTGAGTTATAATCGTAGTCTCATAATTTCTCAGCACCTTTAGTATGTTATTGAGTGTTGTGTACATATTTTCTACTTCTTAGTTCTCTCTATCCAGCGTGGGGGCATATATCTGTATAATGTTTAAGTCAACTGGGCACGCTTTCACTTGAACGAGTGCTATTCTCTCTGATATTGGAGTAAAGACTTTCACACATTGTGTTCACGTGTTCATGTCTCCCATTTGCAGTGCCTAAAAAGAGAACTCTAAACTCTTCGGTGTATATATTACCAGTATCCGACCATCTCATTTCACTTACTCCAAGGATATCTATCCTCATTTTTTTCATTTCCTTGATTGTTTTGTGCATTTTGTCTTGTTGGCTCATAGTTTTTACATTCCAGGTTGTAGTTCTTAGTTCCTCTGTGGTAATTATTCACGTCTCTGCTTGTGACTGTCCGTCCCGGAGATCCGATTGAGGGACTTACTGCAGATATTGATTTAGCTGTAAGCATAGCCATTTTGATTTTACTAGAATATATCCCATTAGGATCTTTAACGAGGTGGGTGTCCAGAGTTCTCCCTCGTTCTTATGTCGTTGACAGTATTCTACTGTTCCTCCGCTTTTGGAGCCAGTTTCCCAACTCTAGGACAAAAGAGTGCCCTTATTTACTCGACTCGTCCACCCGGAGCTGTTGGTCGACAAGGGTTTTGAGGTTTTACCGCATCGGCTCGGTGCTAGCTTCGTCATATCTGACTATCCTCACTTGGTTTGGCCTTCAGGCAAAACAGTGAAGGGAAAGACACATCAACGAGTATTTGCAGAAGTTTATAAACTTGTTGCATACTATACTTTTTCGACGATTGTCACGAAACATATCAGTATGAATATATTCACTGAATGACATGACTGACAAATGTCAAAAATGATTTAAATATCTACTGAATATCCGATCGCTCTGGAAAAGCTCGAATTGCTTCGAGTTAATATTTAATGAATCTGACGGTTTAAAGTGAGAGCATGCGTAAGCGCAATTCATAATTGCGTATTTAGGAATAGAGAGCAGGAAAAAGTGATTTGTATATTAAGACCGGCAACGACAATTTGTTGTCGGAATACAAACCAGATTTTTTCTACAATCTGTGTTTAAAAAATAAACATTTGGTAAAAACCAGTATTGGTTGATATCTGTCAGATATGGACAGTTAAAAGTTTCTTTATTTTGTCCATAGTAGCCAAGGGAATCAGAGCGGAAAATGGAATATTGCACTTTCTTTGGAAATTCAGGTTTGTACAGTCCCAACTTTTCTTTCTGTATAGAATCAACATAGGAATAATAAATGTGGCCTTGGTGAACTATGCTCAGAACGAATAGGATACTGAGTGACATGACGGCATCAAAAAAAGCGTCAAAAATGTTTTAAATATGTACTCAAAATTTCCCACCGAAATAAAGTGAAAGCTTGTGCAAGCGCCATGTATTACTGAGTATTTAGGAGTAAAGAACACGATAGAGCCATTGGCCTATCAGGATCGGCAATGTCAATTTATTGTCGAAATACAAACAAGATTTTTTCTACATTTGTGTTTAAAAAAAAATTGGCAAGAAAAAATAGTGGTTGATATCTGTCAGATATAGACAGTTAAAAGTTTATTTATTTTGGCCATGGTAGTCTTGGGAGCGGAAAAATAGAACTTTTAACTTTCTTTGTAAACTCAGATTTGTACCAACGCAACTTTTGTTTCTGTATAAAACCACATAGAAATAATAAATGTGGCATTGGTGAACTATGCTCAGAACTTCAGCTTTTTACGATTTCAAAGATAACAATAAAGAATTGATTGATGATTCAAAAATAATCCGAAAATATTGGAGGAGAAAATGCAATGATATGCAGGCCGTACCCAAACATACCCAAGAAAAGAAAAGATGAATATATGCAGCGTCGCAAAGATTTCAAATTACCGCCCGAAAATGATAAAATCCGAGTATTCCCAATTCATGTATATTTGTATTTGGAAGTTTGTGGACGTGAGGAATTTAATTACTTATTATAGAGGGCGCTAGTTAGAACCTAAAATATCTCCATTTTAGTGCCATAACTTTCTTTTTAAATCCTATTAGTTGTTCAGGTTCTATTTGAAAATTATGATAGAGAGATAAGTAAAAAGATATATTACATTTACTTCGATTATATATACTATTTTCGTTATATTGAAAACTGAAAATTGGCCCCAGTTGTAAAGCTATATTTGTGAATCCAGTTTGGGCCACACTGCACAATAACGTTAATATAGGCTATTAGTTAAGACTTGTAAATAAGATTGTGTGTAGTTTTAATCAGAGAATATTAACAACTTTCACATACACGTTGTAATTAAATTGTTATTTTATTTTTTTAACAAATTGATTATATTTCATTTTAAATAGTGCGCCTACGTTAATAAATTTTTAGGCGAAAATATAGCAATCCCTTTGAATTTTCAATGTGTCGGTGGCGGTCCTATATCTCATTTTTCATAAACATCGAAACTTTCATCCACCTTCATACTTACCACAAGCAGCTGCACATAATATAAGAGTTCACATAATTTGGCATTCCACCTTTTCCCTAAATTTTCCTAGAATTTCGCGAATAAAGGATGTGGGACATCATTGAGCTCATTGGTCTGCGACGCATATGACGTAATTAATTTCGCCTACCTGCCTGCTCATCTTTGGTGCTTTGGTGCGGTGTTGTTTTGATTAGATTCGGTACTGCACCACTGCGTTTCAGAATGGAATGACGAATCAGCGATCCCATTCGGCAGCGCCCTGTGATTCCCCAGGAATCCACGAGTCCCGGTCTCGTTCGAAATCTCCGCGCCGCGCGACTACCGACCATCGATCCTTGTCGCCACCAGACATGCGCCCCATCACCGCCGTCGATTACGGTAACGCGGCGTCTTACCCTGCAACCCGTTTCCAATCTCGTTCAGCCACGGCCACCCCTACAGGGTCGCCGAAAAAGCGCCAATTGCCGCAAGTGCCGCACGCCCTCGCCCGAGCCCTGCAGGTAAACATCAATATTCCTGCGTTATTTTTCGAAAAATTTTGTTTTGACTAGTTGTTGACATTTATATAGTGTTAGGACAAGTAGAGGAAAAAATCATTCAAAAGATCTGTACATTGCCTCAAATTCCCTTGAAATTCTCTATGATTTTCTGAAATTTCCCACAGTGTTCGAAAATAAAAACCAAATATCGATGACCTGATGAACTGCAAAACCCCGTATCTGACAATTTTACGTTATATTTACTTAATACTTTATTTTATAACGGAAAACAATCGTATTTGCATTTTAAATATACGAGCCATTAGCAAAATTTAAATAAGTATAAAAATTCAAAAGCACACAATAAAAGTATATAATAACAGAACAATTATGAAAGAAAAATCAGAGTAAAATTTCAGACAATACATAAGTTTTAATTGATCTTTTAAAAGCATTTAAATTATCACACTCCTTAATATTAAACGCTAACAAACCTTTATTTAAAACGGTATTCAACATACGTGTAGTTTTACATCGATTGACTACGATGAAATCAGTACGGTTTCTAGTGTTATAGTCATGAACATTCTTAAAGCAATTAACCCTATTACTAATGTAGGCAGCATCATTCTATTTTTTTATCTTAAATATAAATATAAAGGCATCAAACATTATATTTTGCTTTACAGTTAATATTTGTAACACATTTACCATAGTCATCACAGGTGAATATCTATTACATTTTAGAATTGCGCGCATTGCTCTGTTTTGTTTCTGAAGTTCAGTTAGTCTATAGTTAGGTATACTAAACAATAGAGTTGAACAATATTGCAAATGTGGTACCGCCAAACTATTGTAAAGTAACAATTTTGTATAACCTGTTAAATTTTTGCTTGCTCTAGATATGAAACCCACCTCTGTGAGAACTTTCTCATTTATAATCACAATGTGCATCAAAATTTAATTGTGGATCTTATACAATCCCAAATGTTTCTCACACTGCCAATTAACGCCATTTATATTAATATTAACACTCTCCAGATCCAAACCACTCAATCTATGTTTTTTGCCATACAAATAGAACTTCGACTTCATAACATTAATGCTAAGATTATTAATGCACAGCCATACAAACACTCGATACCGGTCATCATTAATTTCTCGCTGCATTTCTTCGATATTCTTACCAACGACACATATCATGGTATCGTCGGCAAATAATGTAATTTTGCTGCTTGAGCTAGATCATTAATATACAGAAGAAACAATAATGGCCCCAAAAAAATCCCCTGTGGTACACCATGATCCACCAAGATAGACTCAGATACAGATGACTCTTATTATCGATTAAAATATCCCTATTGAAAGTCTCAAAAGCTCTTCTAAAGTCCACAAACACAGCCAAAGCAAAACTCATTGCATCAGATTTGTTGGACTGCCCAGAATGCTGCATTAGCTATTTTAAATAAAATAATATTTTGTCTCTCCCGTAAAATTTACGTTTTTCAGATATGCGATATTACATCGATATTCATTCCAAATTTCCAACTCCAATAAAACGATTTCATAAGCGATCTTTGTGCTTGTAAAAGTATACGCGATATATTAAGTATATAAGTGTTGCATCTAATTTTCTCAATTCCTCACTGCTAATTAAAATTCTTTTGACAATTTTTGAGAAATTTTATTTGCTTTAGATATGAATGAATAAAATTGTATAAGGGGCGTCAAGTAACATATATTAGCGTTTTCAAGGTTATTTCTGGCTTAGTGTATTTCTTACTACAACTTAAAAAATCCATTGTATTACATACAAAGGAGTAATTAGGAAGGAAAAAATATTTTGCCCCACATTCTTTTTTTGTGTCGACAAACTTTTGCGTAAAAAAATTATTAAAACAGTTTCCAGAACTTCTTGTAAAACATCAACATCAACATCAACGACATCAGCAAAGTTTCTTATCAATTAATTAATTAATTATTAATAGGAACGTTTTATACTCTTTTCAGCTCTGCTTTAATTTTCAAAATTCTTTTTTTGTCAACATACTGCAAAATAGAACAAAGAATCCATAAGTTTAACCGACTACTTAAAAAACTTTGATTATAAGGGAAATAACGAATTGCTTTTATAATTATTATCATAACACCAACCAGTTCTAAAATAATTTTTTCTCCAATTTCAGACTAATATTCGAAATTGATTGGGTAATTCAACAAGAACCAATTTAACACGGCCATTTCTTTATTTTAAACGCAAAAACTATGTTTTCATTAACGAGACCAATAAAACTTGTCAAGTGAAGTTTCAATGGAGAATTATAAAATCCTCTTACCTATGATTGATTTCCTATGCACCCTAACGGTGGAGATAGAGACATAAATATTATAAATAAAATTTGTCTTGATCAATTTTTTATTGGGACTTTTTTCACAAACTCCTACAACTATTAGTTCCCGACATATGGAAGCACTGAAGCAATGAATACGTAGAGAGTAACGGGAATTTTTTCTGTTACTTTTGAGTTGCAGAACATATGATATTTAAAATGTTGTTTACTTTAATGAGCTCTGTAAACTGTTTAAAAAAAAATCAACTTATGGAACACTTTGTCTATGTATCCGATATTAAAACTAATAATGTTACCTTTTGTATTGAAAAAAAAGTCTTTTTTGGTCTATTTCTAGTATTTTTGATGTTTCGTCTCTGTCAAAATAAATAAGAACTAAAAGTTCAGATTTTCACGAAATTATATATTATGAAATGACAATTGTTTCGACAACACATTTGATAAAGATACGGTGTTGTCGAAACAATTGTCATGTCAAAATATATAATTTCGTGAAAATCTGAACTTTTAGTTCTTACTTATTTTAATAAATGGACTTTCATCAAGTAAAAGCCACCTCAGTTCAATTTTTGAAAGAAGCTGAAATTGGTTTCTTGGCTATTTGGTATTTTAAAAGACGTTTGATAAAGACACGGTGTTGTCGAAACAATTGCCATGTCAAAATATATAATTTCGTGAAAATCTGAACTCTTAGTTCTTATTTATATTGATAAATGGATGTTCATCAAGTAAAAGCCACCTTAGTTCAATTTTCGAAAGAAACTGAAATTGGTTTCTTGGCTATTTGGTATTTTAAAAAGACATTTACTAAAGACACGGTGTTGGGGAAACAATTGTCATGTCAAAATATATAATTTCTTGAAAATCTGACCTTTTAGTTCTTATTTATTTTGATAAATAGATTTTCATCAAGTAAAAGTCACCTCAGTTCAATTTGTGAAAAAAGCTGAAATTGGTTTCTTGGCTATTTGGTATTTTAAAAGACATTTGATAAAGACACGGTGTTGTCGAAACAATTGTCATGTCAAAATATATAATTTCGTGAAAATCTGAACTTTCAGTTCTTATTTATTTTGATAAATGGACTTTCATCAAGTAAAAGCCACCTCAGTTCAATTTTTGAAAGAAGCTGAAATTGGTTTCTTGGCTATTTGGTATTTTAAAAGACATTTGATAAAGACACGGTGTTGTCGAACCAATTGTCATGTCAAAATATATAATTTCGTGAAAATCTGAACTTTCAGTTCTTATTTATTTTGATAAATGGATTTTCATCAAGTAAAAGCCACCTCAGTTCAATTTCGTCTCTGTTTTTTTCAGCGTAATTTCTTAATGTATTTGTACGTAAGAACTAGTAAAATAAATATATTATTCAATTTCAAATTGCTCAGGAGAGGGTAGCTCAAGATCTAGAAGATCGTTCTACGGGTACCAACAACCGAAGGATGAGGTATATACACACGTATAGAAGTACAGGGTCGGGATGGGAACGGCGTTACAGCGGGCTCAGCGATAGTGATCTGACTAGCCACGGTAGGTCAGAAAGAGATAGGGCACACCACACGCGAAGGCTAGTATCCCCAGACAGAGATCAAGATCCTCTGGGGCTGGGGGATTTCGACAGTGACATGGAATCGGTTGCTTCTGTTACCAGCAGCGCTTTTTCAACACAAAGCGAGAGACCCAGAGGAAGTAGAATGATGAGGTGAGTTAAGATTTGTGTGCGTCAAGCTGCAAATAAAATATACAAAATATTTCGTCATTTTTAGCAGATATTTAACAATTAAGCTTTTAACTACAGAACAATTTGAAAAGCAGTGTTAATTGATTTTATTATTTTTTTGATGCGCATAGTTTGGATTTTATTCAGAATAAAGGACTGGGCCTCTGAGGTTAAAATAATAAATATATCTGCCATTCTCCTCTACAAATTGGAGGCCTATGGCTACATTACATCACTAGTGGTGTAATGAACTCAGACAATCCAAACGGGCCAAAATACATTACGTAATAAATTCATATAGTGTGGATAGTGGATAAAAAGTATTTTAGCAATTGCGAATCTTTCGGTCAAACTGGAAAGTAGTGATCTTTGTATTCCAATTATTTTTTGGTTGCGAACGCCAATTTGTTGTACAAATTTATTTTAGCTCTAACTCTTATTTAACTTCTAGTACCTCTAAAATAAAACCGTTCTCATTGCTCATTATCATAAACGATGATAATGAAGTGGAAATGGATCTTCATTAAAGAATTTGGTTTACTTTTTTCGGATTATTTCGTAAAAATGTTTCTATTCTTGCAGGGAAATCACAAAATCCGGCGAGAAATTTCTCCCCAAAATTGAGTTGGGACAACATTTCAATTCCCTTCCATATCATTACGGCCCATCATTAAAATTGCACACAATTATACGAAGTAATACGCTAGATTCCTCCAAAATGGTAACTTTTAACACCCAAAATTATTATCAATATTTCGATCCCGTCGATGAAATCGTTTCGAATTTGTCATCTGATTCCGAAAATTGTTTTAAAATGCTTTCTAAATCAGAAAGTGTCCAGAATATTCCTGTAAATCGTGAATCAAAAGTCTGTCGTCCGGAAGGTGATGGAACCGATAAAATGTGTCAAGGCATGCTCAACGAGTTGTTGGAAGCGCCTCAGAATGCCGACAACGTAAATAACGCTGTCGAGTCTCAAAGAAAACAAAAAATCGACCGAAATTGCAAATTGATTAATGATTGGTCTTCCAATGCAAATCAAAACTTGGCAAGCACTCTCAATGATACGATAACAGCAAAAAAATGCGACGTATCCATTATTATAAGCGACGAAGATCAAATCGATAAATCGTCTCTCAATGATAGTCAGGAATGTTTGAATCTATTTAAAACTTGTTCGCTTAGATCTATCGAGTCTCCTAACTTAGAGATTGATTCTTTACCGAACGGCACCGAAAGTAAAAATGTAATACATAAAAGAGATAGCGTAGATAGCAATCCAAGCTTTAGTACCGAAATTAACCTTATGTTTAAGAAATGTAGCGTAGATAGAGCTAGCGAGTACATACCTACAACTAGTTGCTCTCTTGACAGTAGCGAATATGGAGAGTACCCTAGTTATCGCTCGGCAAGGGACCCTAGGGACAGAGATTCAGACCCCCGAGAACCTATGGAACCTTTAGATAGCCGTCACGGTTATCACCATAAGTCACATCATCACCATCATCACCATAATCACCATAGGGATGGAAGCGTGAAAAGGGGACAATTCACTAGGAGCCTCTCAAATACGGAGCCGCCTTCGGACGAAAAAACTGGTAAGGGTAAAGAAAAAAAAGTTTTGTTTGTACAAGTCGTATTTCTGATAACCTCTCGAGCGATTTTATTATAGTATTATTATTATTATGTATTATGTAGACTGAGACAAATTTTAATGGTTTTTAATCATATTTTAAACATAATTATTGAAATGAAAATATTTTTAATAACATTTTGTTCTAGTCCGCCAAAAATCAAAACATCGGGCTACTGCATCGGTTAAATTGGGGAACAGCTCCGTATTTTAATGCTGCTTTCTATATTTCCAAAAAATAATATATAATATTCCTATAATAATTACTAAAGTTTGAAGAACGGTTTTTATCAACAGGATGACAAATTTCTTTATCACCGATGTGTGATACTACTTTATTTTCTACTATTCTATGCAAAATACATATTTTGCACACCCAATGAATATTTTGCGACATATTCAATTTACATCTAGTGACGTCATAACTTTGAGTTTCGGAATTTTACTCAAGTTTTCTGAAAACCTTGTGTATAATGATGGAAAATTTTAGTAAATAGCTCCTCATGAAAAACATAAATGTAGTAAACTTTATTCCAGTTTCCATATTAGTAAATATGATACAAAGAGAGAATAAATTACAGTTTTTTTTTTTAATTTCTTATACAGTTATTCAGTTATTAAATAACCCTCTCTCCCTCTCTTATTTAATTATTGAAAACCATCTCTTATCGGATATGGTACATATCCAAAAAGTCGTTGGAAAGTAAATACAATTAGAAAGTAGTTCTTCTAAACACAGGATATCATTGTATTTTGTATAGGGTATCCTACTTTGGACACTTTTCCCCTGTATCTTTTTTATTTAATAAGTTATTGAAAACTAATCAAAACTATTAACTGTTCCTTTTTTTATTTGAAGTAACTGCTGTAAAGGTTTATGCAGTGCGATAGTGCAAAATTTAATTGTTTGGCTTTGCGACCTGCAAAACCCTTGCAGGAACTACCGCACTGGAAAAGTATTGCCAATGATATTAAAACCTTTTTCAATATATCAACCAAATGATCAAAGTTTTAACATTTACTTGTTGATAACGTAACCTAGAGACCTAGCTCGTTTGATTGTGGTAATACAATTCGGAGTTATTAACATTTAACATCCAACTTTGCAACTTCACAACTTATTGGCAGATAACACAAAATGGTTTTGACCAAAAAAACACGAAATAGGGCGCAATCTGCAATTATTTTTTACACCTCTTCATCAGGTAAAATTGTCTAAAAATTCCATTTTCTTATTGGTTATTGAATTCTGGCCATCTATTTTCAGAAAATTTTCACGACCTCCTGGTAATATATTTTTTTCCGCAGGCCATACGACTAATATTTCCCGTGTAACACCCGGTCCATTTGTAGACTATAAAAAAATACATCTTCTGTCAAACTTCCACTAATTGCGAGACGTCCGCTATAGATATCGAATAAATTCTAAAAAAAAAACTTTTTTAACACTTTCCGTCCACTTTAGTAAAAAAAAAGATTTACTTAGTCCAGTATATTCAGTAGAAGAACGAGAATCGACATGTATTGATCAGATAATAGTTTGTTTATTTTTAGACGGTAGTTTAAGCGATACCGCAATACTTCACGGTTTAGAAGTACCACAAAAAGAAATGAGCAGGAAAGAGAGCCAACGCGACAGGGAAAGAGAAAGGCAAAGTCAGTTCGTGGGTTTAAGTAAAAAAAGCAATTCAACCAGTCAACTTTCTGCGACAGGTAAGGATATGTCCTAACATACTTGTGTGTAAACAAATGTAACAATTTTCTCTGCAACTTCTTTTTTTAATGACTCTTGCTCAACGATTAACGTAGCGAATTAAAAATTGATAGTCAATGGATTAGATTAGAGTACGATTTGTGTGTGACGCGTGTAAGCTCGTCCTCTCCCATTTTACCCTTAGTGTCCTTGCCATACAATTGTTTGCTTTGTGTATTTAAAATTCTCCAACGTTATACGGACTACCACAGAATTGTGTTTAAATTTCTATTGCATTGTAGGGTGTGGGTTTGTATGTCTACTATACGAGTTAACAAACAACTTATTTACTATGTTCAAAATTGATTTATATTTAGCAAACCTGTTCATAATATTAATAAAACTTTATTATGGCGCTTAGACACACACAAGAGTAAAAATTAACATATAAACTGCCTTTACAACAAAGAGGCTCAGATATGTCTGAGCATGATTATATATACATTTATTGAACTGAATTAATATATATGAAATAAATATATAGGTAGTAGCTACGCAAAAAAAACCCTCCTGCATTTAACCGCCTCGCCAAACATTTTTGCCCTGTTGTGCGAACTGTTTGCCGAACACTGTGTATATTCAACTAAACGAATTTTAATTAAATATCTCAAGTCTCTTCATGAGAAATATTTGAAATATGTTGCCATTTTTTCTTAGATGGTATTACCGTAATTAAATTATCTCCCCTTTTGACGTCAAAGTTTTTCTCGAAGCTCCATATTTTTCGCCGTACTATTTATAGCAACTTTTTTCATCAACTTGTTTTATTAGATTCTTGTACTTTTAAGTAGACTATTTTATGTATTTTATGTATTTTATGTTTTATAGCTCTAAAAATTCCAAATATTGAAATGTATAGTGTAGGTCGTTTATCTTGGGACAGCCCCATATCTCCGAAACTGTAGAGGATGGAGCCAAAAGTTAAATACAAAAGTTAATTGAGAATTTATTTAATTTATTTTAATTTTTACACCTAGTACATTACTTCATTTTTGAATTCTATGCAAAATTCTAAACATTTTTTTTGTATAATGTCCTATACCTAAGTCTAACCGTTTTAGACATTTTTAATTTTTTATGCAAAAAATTACGTTTGCAAGACGTAAAATATCTGCCAGTTTCTTCATTCGGAAGCGTTTCACTTGAGTAAGTAGACAAAGGACTCGAATAACGGATAAGAAATTTCGATATATATTAATACAAGGTACGCGAAAAGTAAGATTAAAAATTAAATTAAAAAAACTGCCAAAAAACTTTTTTTTTATTTTTTATTTAGCATTAAAAATTAAGACAATTTTGTATAATGTTGAATGTGCCTAATATTTTTACTTTTTGCAAATATTCCTTTTAAACACAAATAATATTGTGTTGCCATATATAGGTTGAGTTAGTGAAATGTGGACGGTGTTTGAACAAAACAAGTGCTACAGCGCTGCCTCTATGCGCTTATGAAGATCCATTATTTATACAAATAAAACCAAGTATACGCGATAACTTTGGTGGATATTTTATTAACGAACGATCAATAAAAAATTAATAGCGTACAAGGTATAATAATTATTGTAACAGTTATTCAATATATCCTCCACTTTAGACAATACAATTAGTATAAAGGATTTCTAAATACATAATGGCATTTCTAACAGAATCAGTCCATTTAAATATTCGTTGACGGTTTGTGTTTGTAAACCAAATGTTTTAGTGTACCCAGTGAAAAAAATCTAGGGGAGGCCAAGCATAACTACCATTTTCCCCAATCCATTTTCTATTGTGTGCAATTAAATAGGTGCTAATTTCTTGACTTCTGTGATAAGGAGCGCCATCCTGCTGTCAAATTAAATTTCGTTGTTCCCTTTCGAGCACTTTATTTTCAATAAAGGGATAATATTTAAAAGCTCTAAGTAGCCTTGGGAATTTAAATTCTGATAAAAAAAATACTGGACCTATTATTCAGAACCTCCAAATTACGCACCTTACTTTGACAGAAGTTCTACCTGATCTTGTAACTTCCATACGTTTTTTTATTATTCTTATTGCTCCACTAGTGGGTATTTTTCTAATTAAAAATTTTAGTCATCTGTCCAAATAATATTAGCAAATATCTTTTCTGAAAAGTGACTCTCGTTAAGATTGTTGCAAAAAACTAACCTGATGTTGTAATCCCGTTGCTCTAATTTCTGCACTGGACAGAATTTATAGGACTTCCAGTTGTTTATTTGAGGAACGTTCGAAACGCTCTTCTTTTGATATCTAAATCTAAAGACGCATTTGGGGTAGAATTTTCAGTGGTCTCTGCAAAATTCAACAAAATATTAAATTGCTCTTCATCATTCAAACTAAGACAACGTCTATCTTTTTCATTCTTCAAGGTACCATATATTTTAAAGTGATGGTAAACATTATACAAAATTGCCTTAATTTTTAATGCTAAATATGACAAGATTAGTTAAATTAAACTAAAAAAAACAGTATTTTGGCATTTTTCTAAATTTCATTTTTAATCTTAATTTTCGTGTATCCTGTATTAACATGTATCGAAATTTCTTATGAAATACGTTATTCGAAACCTTTGGCTACAACGAAACTTACTCAACTGAAACGATAAACGCTTCAACATGAAGAAATTGGCAGATATTTTAAGCCTTGAAAACGTCATTTTTGGCAAACAAAATTAAAAATATCAAAAATGGCTAGACTTAGGTGTAGATCATTGTAGACAAAATATTTCTAGAATTTTGTATGAAGAATAAAGCAATATACCAGGTGTTCCGTTTAAAATCAGAAAGTTGATACTCGCCCACGATAAATGAAACACCTGTATATACAACATTAAAATAAATTGAGGGTTTGTAATACCCCAATTAACTTTTGTATTTAACTTTTGTAGGATTTCGTTAGATGGATAGGGAAAGATTGACCTATAAGATGATCAGTTAGGTCTCCAGATCTTACTCAATCTTTATTGGCGATGTGAACTCCAAGCTATCGAGGAAGGTCAACTGAACATATTATTATTATTATTTTTATTATTATTATTTTTATTATTATTATACAGGAGATTGAAAAGAAAGGCAACGTAGTGAATCGCGAAAAACATTTTGAGATAGCTAAATTTTGCATTTATGTGGTGACAATTTCTGAGAAAAGCAAAATTGAACCAGATATCTCTAGTGGAACAAAGTTTATTGAAATTCCTCTTTCGCCATTCTTCTTGAAGCATTTTTCGATGAAACAATTGTAATAACAAAGCCTGGGGTAAAATTTCACTTTAATATTCCAGATTTTATGCCCAAAAAAAGGGGAAATCCAAGGACTACTTATAGTACCCGATGCGGGTTTTTTAAGCAAGAAATCGAAATATGTCGCTTATTTAGGTAACTTATATAGGTAAAAGTAAGTTAAATAATAAAATTTAAAGAACATATTTTTTGTGTTAGAAAATGTATTCTTGCTCAATATCATTTCATAACCGCTTTAGAGACATTTGCGATCAAATTTTTACATGGCGTAGATAACTTTTGGACATTGCAATATAGTCGGTAATAAAATTGATAGTTTATAAAGAACTCTGTTAAGAGCTACGAAAAAAAAATCACGCGGCGGCAAAAATGTTAAAGTGGCGCTAATTTTCAACATTTACTGAAAAGTAATTTTGTATAAAAATACTTCACATATCGCCAAAAAATACTACACATATTTATGTAACTGATTATACCTAACTCTATAAAGTAAATGAAAATGAGGTTGGTACTGAGAAAATTATTCTAATTATAGCAATTTTTCAGTTTTTATTTAAAAAAAAGATCACACATTGTACATTTGTAACATTTGTACTGTATATATAATTAGGAAGTTTCTGGATTTCCCTTTCCTTTTGAATCACCTTGTGTATTAAATGGAGATTAAAAAATTACCTTGCCGTTTAATTGCACGGAGAAAAAATATATAGACTATAAATGTACAGGTCGCAAAAGGCGAATGGGTTTCGGAAGAAGAGGTAAAACGTCGTTTACTGTACATAGATCGGAGGAGGTACTACCAGGTGATGTCCGTCTGTCCAAACAAGGTTCTTCAGCGTCTAGTGACGGAGAAGGCTCCGCCGATGGCGACAGGTGCATTTTTGGCCAATTTTTTTATCTCCTTTTGGGGTTTCATGATTATAGTCCTTCGATAATAAATACTAATGGACCTATTCAGTTTTCCCTGGCAAGTAGCTAGCTCATATCCAAAATTTCTATACATATAGATCTTGAGATCTATCATAGGAAACATTCCATTTTTGTCTACTAGAATCAACCAATTTTTTCTGCCACATATTGTGTTGACTAACTCAGATTTTTAATTCACAAAATTTTTCATAATTAAAATTGGTTCAAAATATTTTGAGAATACTTATTATTTTACAAACAAGTAAAAAATTCTTAATGTTTGCTTACTTTATTGTTATATTCATTATAATTTTAGCGTTAATGAGAAAGATAGTTGTTTCTTTAGGTAAAATTACATCACAATTACTATCAATTCTCAAAATTTGGAAGCTGCTACCTACTACAAGTTTTCGTTAAAGATTACTGATCCTATTTTAATTGACATTATTTAAATCTGCACTCGTGATTCTAAGTAGTTTTTATTATTTGCCTCAATATTAATGAAATAAAAACATGGAACAAGAGAAAAAATGTTCGTGAAGGTGTAATAAACATTGTGATTCACGAAATAGATTAGGAGAGGGCTTATTAAAATTTGAACAGGTTCATTGTTTTCCTTGTGTTACCACCGTTCACCAGTCATCCTAAATCCCATCCCAGGAGCAAACACGTTGATAGGTACATAGAGAGATGAAAGTTCTAGACAACTACTCTATTTTTGATATCCAAAATATGTCTTAAATTCCAAAGAATGATATTAGTTTACACCATCCGATCAATGTGAGTAATCCTTTGTACAAGAATATCAGAAGAGTCGACTTTTAACTAGGATAATAAAACTTTGACAAATCGTAGTTGCATTTAAGTAGATTAGCCTTTAGGACATTTTCTTTGCTTGTCCTTCTACCTAGCGTTACTGTAGATTTAGCAAAGCTATCGCTTTATATATTTAAACCAGTTTTGAGATTCTTATAACGTTTCAAACGAACACGACAATATTTATAGTTATCAAATTGGTATGGATTTACATCACACGGAGCGAACCGTGTGTTAGTTCATAGTGTAGTGCTTTTTATGAACGGCATGCTTGTTTAGGAAACAGTAAAATTCTGGGCCCGACGTAATGAGCATAGGAACGCTTAGGTTGTTTTATATACAACGAACTATAATAGTCTAGCTGTCCGAGTATTGCTGGTTACTTAATTAGTTTAATATGAAATTAACAAGTGTGATAAAAATTTATATACGTAATTTTCACCTGAAAAATTTGGTCTGTACAAAAATATTATTTAGAAATGCCTTCATTAGTGGCCCTTATTGTAATGTATTGGTAATATAAGATGTATCGGAAGTTTGAGTTTATTATACATATTAACCTACAAGATTACCTATTTGAAATTCTTTACTCTAACGCAAATTTTTAATTTATCGCCATTAGACCGACTAAGGTATGTAATGAAATATCGTTAATATTTGAGCTTACTTTATTGGATAAGATTACTTTAGTTTCATTCTTTAATATAAGTACAAATTTGACAAACATTAAGAGAAATGTCACTTAGCTTTGAAAAATAAACGAAAAAAATTAATTTGTATTTAGTAAATCATAATTTTAAGCCGTGCGTCATTCATTCGACTATTACCTTTTAACATTTTTAAAAAATGTCCTCTTTCACATTGCCATCAAATCATTAGTTGACTAAAAATGTAGGGACTTATCTCTAAAAAAAATTTTATACGGTAAACCAGAAATTAAATTATTTAAGTATTAAAGTAAAGGTTGAATAATAATGATAAATCTAGTCATTACCTTTCATTGCCTTCGTCGGCAAAGATACAATTTAGTCTCGAATATAATTTTTAAGCAAATATTTACTTGGGCCACTAACTTGGCTGTGAAATGTCGATATCATAATACATTGATAACGCCCCTGCCATGTTTATATGATGAAATGATATTATTTCCAAAGCAGACTTGATACATCATTGATTAAAAGCCTAGTAACTTGCGACGAACCTAAATCAAAACAAGGATCTAAAGATGCTTCCATTCGATGCATACGCAGAATATTACACACACAGAAAGGAGTTCGTGGGTGGATCTATCTTGAACAAAACATCAACTAGTGATACAGTTGTCGCTTTACACTTTATTTCGGTTTCGAATGTGCTCTATAGTTGAAAAGGAATAAGTGAAGTAATTCTCCAATGATTTTAAATAATAAGAGTCTATTTAGTATTTAGAGAAATTTAAAAATTAAAATCCACATAACTCATAAAATAATTATGAGACGTGAAAAGCACCTGATTAAATTCTTCAATCAAATCGCAATTTGGACGCATCGTTCATAGTTTGATACGTCGTACTGGTCAATGCGAATATTAAAAAATAAATAAATTTTGGCCTCTATAACTTGCGATCCCCATTCTTGTTAAATAAATTTATAGTAGTAGCAGTAGAGTGAGGGTTTAGTAAACGAGTAACTAAAAATGTTATTTACGAATTGCATAATTTCACAGTTAATAAACAATAACATAATACTTGTGTCATTTCTTAGTTTTGCTGTATACAAAGAGTAAACAAAGTAAACAATAGGTACCTAGATATGACTAGAAAATCTCAAGCGTTAAGGTGTTAAAAAATTTAAAGCATAAAGGAAACAAGCTATTCAAAAAATTTGAAATCATACGGTGGCAAGAGAGAGAGAGAGCAAGAGCAGTAAATGCGTATTTTTTCTTGTGTAGGTGATAAACTTAATGTATAGAATAGTTGTTTCTATTTGTCTTCTGGATCTTTTTCTTTTTGAAAAGTTATAACAATTACACGTTTTAAATCGGGCTTTTGATTGCGTGTCAGAGATAGTATCTGCAAATCTAAGGAAACCGATGTGCATCTTAATATTTTTTCTCGTCTTCTAATTATAAACTGTTAAAATGTGATACCTTATAAATGAAAAATGACATTGACGTTTAAAATAAGCGAGTTTCCTTTGGATAAAATGTCATTGACTTCATGGTACCGTTACGTATCATATTGCCTGAAAGTTGCAAAAAAAGTCCCTGCATTTTGTAATTATTAGCAAAAGATGATTTACTTGATCTGCGCTTTAGATTAAATCCGAATATCATCCCAAAATCAATAAAAAAGTGCTAATTGTATAAGTTGTAGTTTCGGGTGTGGTTTAAGCTAGTTTGATTGTCATTTCAGCTCAGCTGCATAAGCTCCCGCCCGCACTAGTTTCGTATTGATATTTTCACGATTCCATTTTTATTTGTGAAGAGGTCCAACTATTAGATCTCAACTGAAGTTTGCCCTTTCTACGGAACACCTTCAAAGTTTTTAACTTAATCGTAACAAAATCATTTTGTAAAGAATATTCGTCGCCTATTTAATTTCATATTAAACTGTCTGAAGCTATAAATGTGGAAAATATATGTGGTGCACTACTGGGAGATTTAAGCACAATAATTTTGTGGTGGCAGACAGCGGATACAATAGAAAACGTGTATCCACTAGTAGCAGCATCCAACGCTCCCAAGAGGTCGTACCTAGCGTACCATCTAGGTCTTCGGAATCCAGTCAACGGGCTTCTAGCCTGAACTCCATCTCAAGTTCAGAGGGATCTTCGTAAGTAACAAACACAAAAATGAATTCACTGTTGACCACGTGTGTGATCTGGCTGCAGTTTTTGCATTTATTTTAATATATTTTTATTTTCTGGTTTGTATACTAGATGTGCGCGTGATGGTTTGATGCAAGGATGCTAAGAATTAATTTTATAGAGTGTTAATGGATCGTAAATCAAAACATCCCCGTATCAAATATAATCCGCAGCATGAATATATGTCGTTGGAATTTATAACTTTATACACACAGCCTTGCGAAGTTTTTTAAAAATGGTTTTGTCAATTCTGCCACCATGGTATGTATTTGATTTGTTTACGCATGACTTTTGTTGGCCTGGATAATACGGAAAAATTAAACGAACAAGATCAGCAGCAGTAAATAAACGACGACGTAAACTACAATTGGACGTAATTCGTTATTATTGCATGAGTTTTATAGCACCGTCTAGAAGCACGGTCGACACCCGTTTCACACTATCAAAATATCACAATCGGTAGATTTATTAGCTATTGGCCCGGTTTTCCTCTCTTTCTGTCTATCTCTCTCTATGTACATGTCTGTGTCTGCTCTTAAATGCTCATTACTCTCAATAACATACTGATTTATACTAGGTAGCTCCTACTCTCATCGTGTAATATACAAATATTTCCGAAAGTTGGGTTGAAATTTTGTAAAAGACTCTGGAAATTTTTCTTTTAATACTAATTTCAAAACCAGGTGGTCGCCATCACTGAGACTAACAGGCGAAGGAGGTCAATTAGCTGACTTTATAGACGGATTAGGACCCGGTCAATTAGTTGGACGCCAAGTACTTGGTGCGCCAGCTCTTGGAGATATCCAGCTGTCTCTGTGTTACCAAAAAGGTTTCCTGGAGGTCGAAGTAATTAGGGCTAGAGGTCTTCAAGCACGGCCGGGATCTAAAGTTCTACCCGGTAAGTATATTTCGGTCAACGAAGAACTGGAGATTGTAAAAAAAAAATAGATAAAATGATGTTTACAAAATATTGATGCTTCAACGTTTATTGAAAACAAGACATACTGTCATTCCTAAAATGGGACTGTTTACAATGCCGTTCTATCGACTAAATATTTTTAATAGTCTTATATTGTCCGCAATTTTTAGAGAGATTTTCTTATTTTGTTATTAACGCGATGGATATACTGTGTAGAAAAGTTGTAGAATTAGGCGCTAGACGCAAAAATAAATTTTCATAGTAATTTGCTTTTTATTTCGAGATTCTAACTAAATAGTTAGGTATTAGAAAAAAGGACTTTCAACTGTTTTCTAGAATAGTTGTTATCTACCTGCAAAATATTTGCTTTCCACAAAAAATATGCAAAATAAGTGATTCCTTGAAAACCAAAAGTATAAAAGATGTTGCTACTGTATTGTTTGGCTATAATTTAAGGTTTTTTCTTCAGAGTAATTTCTGTTTATTTCTCACAAAGTAGTTGATATATTTTCTGGCCTCATAAGTACATGGATCATTTCTGAGTGGCTGAATTCACGACTTTTCGATCTTATTTTTCATTTATTCATTCAATATTACTTTCTATGATTACGATTTTTTAATAAATCATTTTTATAGCATGCTACCTCATAAAAACATTAATAGTTATGGGTCGTTGGCGATTGCGGACTTTATTTAACAATTTCAACAAATTTACATATTTGCCTTTTCTAATGTATCCTGAAGATTTACGATTCAGCACGATATTAACGTAATGAACTGTTCTACCTTTATTTTCTATTTTACAGCGCCTTACGTAAAAGTATATCTGGTAAACGGAAAAAAATGTATAGCGAAAGCGAAAACATCGACAGCTCGCCGAACTCTGGATCCATTGTACCAACAACAATTAGCATTTAGGGAGAATTATCAAAATTGCATTCTTCAGGTTAGTACTTACTCATAAACTAGTGTTATTTTATTTTGTAGTAGGATAAGTTAGCTTAACATTAACAATAAATAGTTGTTTATTATAACATGTGTACTACCTTTTTAGGTAACTTTGACGAGGTTAAAGTTTAGTTAAAGTTTAGTTTAGGACGTCTATTGATGTAATTTTTTAGTGGCATAGGCGTCGAAGTTAAACACCTACAATATTTTTCATAATAACCTTGCATGCATAGAAATCGGCCCACTGGCTTTTTTTTCTAGAATCTATTCATCTGACCCAAAAAATAAACATGCTGTTTGGAAGACAATAATATGCTTCAGTATAAAGAGTGTAGATCTTTTATGTGCTGAGTAACAAACTTGTTATAGATTTACATTAGTCGCCTTCGCAACTGGAATTTTCACATTATTCATTTTTAACCATGTGGATAGCGTTTAATTGTGTTAGCTTGATGCATACTACACAGCAAAAAGCCGCTCAAGTTATCGTTTTAATCGAAAGCGGACTGCATCAGCGAGCTGTTGCTCGACAACTGGATATGACACGCGCAACAATTTGAAGAGTATCCCAACGGTATGAGGAGTACTGGATCCTTTGCTAGGCGCCCTGGAACAGGCAGAAGGCAAATTACAACGGCTCGTGATGATCGCTTTGTTGTATCAACAATAATAAATAATGCGGTTCAAGTGCAACAATAGAACAGAAGAACAGAAGTTCGACAAGTGGCTATTAGTCAGTGGATACTGAGAAGAAGACTCAAAGAACCCGAACCTGAGCCCAAAAACAACTGCAATTGGTCCAAAACGTATTCCAGCTCATCGACAAGCACGCCTACGCTTCGCACGGGATCATCTGAATTGAACATTGGACCAATGGTGGTCTGTTCTGTTCTTAGATGAGACTAGAGACATAGACTTTTGGTAGTGACCGACGAAAAAAAGTGTACCGAAGACCAGGATTTACAGAATTCTGCAATGAAAAGCGGAGCCCTTATGGATGTGGCTCCTTCACGACATGGGGTGCAATTTATATGGACGCACGATCCGATCCTGTTTTAATCCGTAAGGGCGGCCGTGGTTAAGGGGCATGAGGTTTAACAGGTGCTAGGTGCATCGAGGATTTTTTATCAGGTTACTGGATTATTGGAGAAGAATTCATTTTTATGCATGACAAGGCTAGGCCTCACATCACAAGGATCTTGGAAGATTAAGAGTTATGGAGTGGCCAGCATGCAGTTTCGACCTCAATCCGATCGAATGTTTATGGGATGAACTGAAACGGAGAATTCGTACTTCATACCCCAACTTCGATTCCAGAGCTTATTGTTGGAGTAGAGGAACAATGGCTTAATATTTCACAAGAAACAATAGCGAACTTGATTACATCTATGGCTAATCGAGTCAGAGATGTTATTAGGGCAAGAGGGAGTCATTGAGGGGGGTTGAGTTGCTAATTGTCAGTAACCCTATTTGTTTTTAGTAATAAAAAAAGTTAATTTGACTCGTGCAGTTATTTTACAATGCTAAACCTAAAAAACAGAAATAAGTTTTTATTAATTTAAGCTCGTATTAAAGCATATATTTTTTTATTTCGTCCGTAGTTTCTAAAAAAAAAAAAAATTGAAGTCAAAAGTTCACGATGGGCCGATTTCTATGCACGTAAGTTTAGATAAATATAAATCATAGCAAAAAATATATGTTTTAGAAGGCAACTAAAAGATATGCAAATAAGTCATATTTTGAATATTTTTTGTTTGAAATTTAGCATTGCAGCGTAAAAGAAAATGTTATTGTAGTAAAAGTTTTGGTACATTCCAAATATTTCAAACATTATTTTGATATCTCCAATGGTTCAAAATTAATGCCTTTATTCATTATTTTCAATTTTATTTTTAGGTGACCGTGTGGGGTGATTACGGTAGAATCGAAGGCAAAAAAGTGTTTATGGGCGTTGCGCAGATCATGCTCGATGATTTGAACCTCAGCAACATAGTGATTGGATGGTACAAATTGTTTGGAACCACATCCCTGGTTAGTGGACCTCCTTCTCTTGGTTTATCGCGCCGAAGCTCGGTGGCTAGTTTAGATTCCCTCAAACTATAAATTCGCAACACCGTATCTTTCCCATTGTCGTGCTATTTGGTTCGAGCAGTGAATATGCCAAAAGTCGCAGTTAGGTTGAGTTATAAATGTGGTTCTAATCAAGTTTTAGTTCTGCAAGTTATATCAGATAGATTGCCAAAGATAATTATGAAAACCTGAAACATCTAACTGAAGTTAAATAAATTCTAACTATAGAAATTTAATTTGTTTTTCTTTCGGTCGTTGGATCTTGACCATATGGTGGAAGTTGCAAATAAATTAATACAATCTCCTCTATTATTAAAACCACATACTACGCCTAACCTCTTGGATCCAAAATATAACTTTTCGCATATACATCTGCGATTTCATTACTTCACTTTACTGCATATCACCGACCTCGTAGCTGCGTGTTAAACCACCGAAGATACTTCTCCTGCGCATAGGTACGGATATTCACACTTTTATCTTTATTGTTGTGTGCTTCTCAGTCGATTTATCAGTGTTATTTCCGTTAAATAACATTTTATTCGAAATCATTGCTTGAGCATGCAATTAGGATAGTTCGCACAATAGCCTAGACCCAATAGAAAAGACCTGGTAAAAAATTGATGCAAAGAAATTAAGTTTTTGGTTCGAATGTTTTTTTTTATTGTCGGGTGAAAACTACGTCACCGCATCAATTAAAACAGAAAAGGATTTGCATGAAAAATATTTTTATATATTTAAATATGTAAAGAAGTTATTTGAATTGTATGCCAATCGATAATGTTATTTGGTATAAAGACAATGGAAACTTTGGTGGATATAAGATTTCGTATAATTAACAATAATAATAATAATTATAATAATAATAATAATAATAATAATAATGATAATAGAAAGTAAATAATGTCGTATTGGTTTTCACCATCTGGATTTCCTCGGCTCTAAAAGCCGACGCAGATCAGATCAAAATTTAAAGAATACATATAAGTTGTCTCACTCAAGCCCACGCTCTCGACTACCAACTTCTTTCCCCGCACCGCTGTTGCGGCTGTTCAGAAGCGGAATCCGTTTTTGTTTCTCGTATTTCGTGGTTCGGTTTGATAAACTTTAATTATACTTTACTTACTTACTTTCTTTATGTTTATTCCAGCATACTCAGGAAACCACAAGAACAATGTCCAAAACACGTAGTTTTAATTTTCTTTATGCAAGTTTTCCCCTGGATTATTTTTTCATTATGTCTATGATTTAAAAATATGTAGATCAAACTGAATTAAAATATAAAAAATTATGAAAACCTTTTTTGGGAACTGCCCTTAATCTCGGCTATTTCAAGATACAATAATTAAAGCATTGTTCATAAAATTCTGTTGTCAGTAAAAATAATTACTTTTGCATACCTTTAAAAATCGCATCTTCTTCTGCTAAAAGTTCTCGTATCGGAGTCAAGTGAGAGTCGAATAATATTTACTAATATTCATATTTCATTGCGCAAAAAGTAAGTAAATTGCACTTTATCATTGAATTAAATTAATTATTTAATATCCCCTGTACCGTCAAGAAAAACATCTGAGGCTATAAAAATGGGAGGTGTTTTCTGAACTGACGCAGACAACAGATTTAGGGAAAGTAAGGCAACTTATATAACAATTTTCGTTAGACACGTAAGTAAAAAACCAGTGTTTCTATCGAGTAACAATTAGCTTGATGTTTAGTTGGTCCGAAGTAGTAAGACTTCAACGAGGAGCAACGAATGAAGTGAAAAAATTCTTTTAGTTGCCTGCAAATTCGTGTAGAATAAAAATGAAAAAAAAGTTGTTCATACCACTCAATTCTCAGAAAATTTTTATTTACCGCACCTTTGTAGGTAACTACTAATATATTAGCATGTACATGTTTGTCTCGATATATAATTTTCTCCAGCCTGAGTTATATCTTTGCTTAAAAAAGAAAAATATCTGTCGTAAAAACAGACAATTTAATTTAGAACAAAAAAAAAAACAAATGATTTTTATTTGTTATTAAGCAGAACAGAAGATGTTTTTCTTTACAGCAAAGGGCTTTGATTGTATGCTTCTACTAAATACTTATTTTTGTTTTCAGTGAAAGGGTATTTCACCCACCAGCTTATACAAAAAGGGTACTGCTTAATTTTTAAAACTAGTGTAACGAATAGACTATTAAAACTAAGGACAATTTTCTAACCGGAGTGCTCTAAATATTGTCTAGTGGGTTTTCCGAAAACAAAATATACCTAGGACTATATCCCAAAGTGATTACAAAACTGGGCAAAACACAAGTGTTTATCGAAGGAGTGCTCAAGAAATATTTAGAGCAACGTAAACACGAACTTTGTTAAAAAAATTAAATTATATCAGAATATATAACATTGTTAAAACACAGCATAAAGTGATGAAAAAAGAACTTAAAATAGTCAGAGAAGTAGACAATTTAGTAAATAGTGTAAATGAAAATTAAGGGAAAATCCGTAAGTGTAGATACCACGCACACATACAAATATAGTGTCACCAATATCATATCCAAGTATTAAAATTTTTATTATACAGGGCGTCTCATATTTAGCGAGTGATATAAACAATTGGGCCCGCAAAGCCCGCTCTGTGTGAAAAATGCTTTATTGGAATTGATAAAATGCTTTTTTACTTAATAAACGATGAAGTCGTTAAAAAATTGTAAATTATAAATACATACGTAGATCGGTATTACGAACTTTTATTGTATGAAAAAATATGTTATATAATTTACTTATTAAATTGCATGTGATAAATATGATGTTATGTTGGCTGTTTAAAATACCCCGCTAATGATACTAAAATACAGACTTCGACGTCGTTTCGGATTTTCGTTTAATTCTATCTGTTTTCTCTATCGTGCCTGAACTTATCTCCGCTATACCGGGTGATTGATGGTCGACGTTTATAGAAAACCAAAATGTTTTTCCTTAATACTTATATTTAATCTAGTGCCCTTTTTGAAATTGTTTTTCTTTTTTTTTACAAAATATAATTGCTACCATTTAAACCCACAAAAGGTAGAATTGGGGAAAGCCACAAAAAGTCAATTTATTCTATGTGGACGTTTAAAATGTGTGTTTTGAAAAGTTTATAAGACAATTAAATTTCCTTAAAAAAGACGTGAAATAGTGGTATGCCTAACTGGGCTGATGCTAGAAATAATCGCTATAATTATTAAAAATCACATTAACTTCATAAACTTTTATTAGTTTAAAATCATCAAACTCTCGTTTGAGTAATTAATATGCGCCATTTTAATTCATTTTAAAAAATAAATTAAAAAATCATAAATGAAGTTTTAAAACTTTTAAATCTATTTCACACACGTGGAAATTGAGCAATTATTGGTAGACAACATGGCGTTTAATGGTTTATTAATAGAAATATGACAAGTTAATATCGGACTGATGTGGCTTTTACTTGATGAAAATTCATCCATCCAACACAAATTAAATTAGAACAAAAAATGTTCAGATTTTCAAAGTTTTTATTGATTTATGGCAGCGGTTTCGGCAACACTATGCCATTCATTTAAACTTTGACTATAATTTTGCTATTTTACATCATTCAAAAAGCAAAAAACTAAATTTGTTGGAAGCTATGGAGATTAACAAAATGAGATATTCGAATTTATTACTTAATGACCAATTGGATTGAAATGCGTCTCCGTTGTTAAATTTAAACTTATAACTAAATCTATTACTACCTGTTTTTATATACAAATGTCGGAATAGAGTCATATTTTGTATTTGACAAAGGCATGGTGTTGCCGAAACAGCTGCCATAAAGCATTAAAAACTGCGAAAATCTGAACATTTTTTGTTCTAATTAAATTTGTTCTAATATACTTCTTAAATGTACTAGGTATACTACTATTCTAATTTTAAATAATAGAGTTTTGATCATTTTCCAGTATTACATGAGAATCATTAAGTTTACTTTGGAATGAATTTTAATGGTTCAAATGGAAACTAAGCTAAGGTTCTAATTCTAATATTATCATATTCTGGGCAAAAACTGTACTAGATAAATGGGATAAAAAACTATTAATCCAAAATAATCACAAAAAAGCTGTGGGTGCAAAAATGTAATAAAATATACGTTACGTTATGATATTTAAAACATGAGTCCCGCGGTCACCCGATGTGAGTGAAATCGAAAAAAAGGGATTGTAGATGATTTTTTAGTATTTTAGGAAGATAATATGTAAATAGTTCTGACAATTTCTAAAAAAGGTGTCAGGCCACGGACTTATTATGATTTCTTATTGTGGTTTCAAGAAGTGGCAACTATTAGACAATTTAAGATTGTGTGACATCGTGCTTAAAAAATATATTTGCTTTGCTTTTGCTATGAAATTCATTATAGTGTTGGAAATGTTTTATTCGTTGCAAAAAAACAATAAATTACGTATCAAGTTTATAAATACGCGTTTTATATTCACGATAGACAAAACAGAAACAACGAAGCCAAAACTAAAAAACAATCGATAAACTAGAACATTGTACAGAACATCGATGTAAAAGTGCGCTGCATTTTTTTTATCGAACTAAAAAATGGATCCTGGTATATTAAATATGATAAATACTACCAAATTCTTGTAAATTATAATACATTTTTGTATCTATAGTTGTTTTTACCTTAAGTGTGTAGATTTTTTTATTGTTGCCTCATAATATTAGTAATGAACTTTTGTATGATTATTTGATAAAAGTGAACTTGCCGTCACTCTCTGGAGTTAATTTCCGTACAAAGGGGTAACTGGGTAATGGGTCCTTGAATATCCGGGCATATAGAACCCCGTAAAGAAAACTAACAACTAGTTGAATTTTCGCAATTTTTTTTAATTTGTGATATTGTAAAGAACCTTTTTGACCAGAGAACAAACTTTTCAACATCACTCGGTTCAGCTCTAGGGTGCGCCAAAAATTCAAAGGTGATATTTGCGACATTGATTGTTAGCTTCCGATTGGAATCCATTAATCTGTTTTTAAAGTCTTTATGGTTATATAGTATACAGAATGACACATTCTATATAATACACTTACATTAACAACTGATTTTCTCAAAATAATATTACAACACAACAATTTAGGATACCAGTTATTAAGCAATCAGCTCTTGGAATATGGACATGGTGGTTAGCATATAGATAGAATGGTTTTAAAGTTTGCAGCTCTCTCGGGCTTTGAAAAACATCTTTTAAATGAGTATTACAACATAAATTACAAACATTATTACAGTTTCGCATCAAAATCTGCGAGGTCCTTCATATTTTCATTGGAAAGGTTTATTCAATAATATTCAAATCATTTCATGGTCATTTCACTTTTTTTGCTTAATGTCGAATTTTACATACAAACGAGACGGCAAGTTCGTGTAGGATATTAGTTGAAACATTAGAATATACTTTTGTTTAGCATATTGTTAGCAATAGGGGCTTTAAAACTGCTTAAAACATTCGAGGAGGATTTTTAAAGAAACATTTCATCATTTGATTGCTATTTAATTAACGGTATCGCGAAATACAGTTCAGTAGAAAGTTTAAAAGGAGGGTTAAAAATTTGCAGGATAATTTGATAGTTATCTACATTTTAATAATAGTGCGCGTAGTATTTCCATACTGATTACTGCTGAACTGTGTTTTTTTTGTTTAAAAACACAAAAAAGGCAACTGTGCATATCACTGGAGGTGTCAACAGCGTCCACTGAATGTCCGTCTTGATATGTTCACTCTTGACTGATGTACCCATTATCCAGCCCTCTGGGCAAGACAATAAATGAAATGATCTATTGAATAACCGTGTTATTTCTAACCATGCTTCAGTTTTGTGTTCCAGTTGTTTCAGCACTTGTACGGTGTTTTCAAGATAAGGATGCAGCAAGAGAAATTCGTTAATGACAAGAGCTTTTCTTTGTTTATCTTTTATTGGATAGTGGTTATTTTAATGCTTATTGTTATTAGACGCAAAATAAATGAGACAAGGATAAGAAGACGAAAAATAGAAAAAAAAAAGAAAATATTAAAAGTAATTAGCCGTTATTTTGAACGTCAGCCTAAAAAATTAAGTTGAATATTCTTAATGGGATTGTTTAGGAATAAAATACGTATCTTATTTTATTTAAAATGTGCCGAACTTTAAAGATTTTTTTCTATTTTTGGTACCTCTAGTACAAAATTCACAGTTTACGAAAATTATTCAAAAGTTTTCAGAGAATCTAAGAGAGAAAACAGAGGCTCCGCGCAAAAAAGTTTGGGAGGGTTGAATTGAGTACTATCCTATCCTAAATATATCTGTTTCACAGCTGCAAAACTTTTTTTTGGCAGACACTGAAAAAATATTGTTCAAAAATGAAATGAACATGGCAAACGGCAAAAAATCGCTTTAACTAGAACAATTAAAATGGAAACATTAAATTTAAAGCGTAATAATTAATTAAAAACAACAAATAAAAAACAAAACTTAGAACGCAAGAAGCAAGAGACACAGAATGAAACTAAACGAAACCATAACAATAATTTAATTTGACATTTTGGTTCATACACTGAATGAACTCCATCGAGCATTCTTCCCATAACGGATCACTTTCGATATCCCTGGTTTTGGATTAGCAAAGGCATTGTTAGCACATTTGAATAATTTCTCTTTAGTTTGTACGGACATTGAGTATACTAGTTATTTTATACAACTCCGCAATGGAAAATTCATAGAAAGGTAGAACATATCAAATAACAAGAATACCATTGAAGATATAGTGAGAAGCCCTAACTTAGCGAATGTAGAATTGAGTTATGCTTCACATCATACAATGCTATACAAAGTGTCGTATTTGAAAAAGCTAAGTTTTGCAGCTTTGAAAATTATGTAACTGGTTGATCAATTTTAACCACCCTACACCATACAAAATCTTGACTGTGAAGAACACATTACTTCATAATGTCAATGAAAACAATTTAACTTCAATAGCCAGCGCATAATCTGTTCAAACATATTTAGAATAATTCTTACAAAATTTATATTCCCTTGATATATCGAGCTATGTTAACCAATAACCTGCACCAATGTTTATGCAAGTGCAGGATTTCCCGCACATGCAAATTACTACCGACAAAGAGTTCGACGAATATCGATTTACGTAAAGAGGTTTTCGCTTTTTATGTTATCAAAATTGACTTTAATTGGTAACGCGGTTCGGCATTAAGTTTAAATTAACACGGTCCATTAAATTTTATACGAGTGGTTAATGTTCTGACCAGTAATTAACCTGCATCCAGTTGTAATAACAGGTCGTATTATACAGGGTGATGTAGCGAGCTATGATCGGTTCCTTTAGTTCGCTTACGTTCTCTAAATAAAAAGTTTTACTTCTCATTTTATCCTTGTAAAAAAATACATTTCTTAGCAACAGTTTTTCCGCAACCTTAAAAAAAATTAAATAGACTTCATGCTGAAATTTCGTTTAATGTTAGCAGTAGTAATGGTAAGGCTGCGGTGATCTGTACGGTCTATTTGGACATTTTGAAATTCTACATGTTTAACCAGTTGGAGAGTCTTATAGATATACTGAATAGTCCATTAGAAGCAGAGAGAGAGAGAGTATATAAAATGCTAGAAATTATCAAAGTTTCCAGAATACTGTAACTAACTCTCGCAAAATTCCATGATGGCATCTCTCTGGTGTGTCGGACAATTATTACAAATATTACAAATATATGATTGCATTTTGTTAATAGACATTTTAAAACAAACTATTAACACAATGATTTCTATCCCTTTTTACTTAATATAAAATACATATTAAAAACACGTAATATTCACGAATGTTGTAGTTAATACTCCTGATCTGGCCGGATTCGTCAGTGTGTTGGCTGTATGCTCTGTGAATATTAGGAACTCAAAGCTCATACTAAAGCAGCTATCAGTTCAAACGACTGACAAATTTTACTATTGGTCAAATATAGTACCTATATAGTATAAGCAAGTATCCATTATTATGTTTAATGTTTTTGGATAGAAATTGTGCAGTGTTGTGAACTAATTATACAGAGTGTAATGTACATCGTACGAACTGTAGCATAATATTACTGGGTGAACTAAACAAAACTAAATTATTTATTCTCATTCAAGCTTTTTATTTAAATATGAAAAACGTTTTCCGACGTCTTCCGGCCATTATGGAGCTGTTTTAGGCACTTTAGGAAATTAAGTAAAATTGAAATCAAACTGAAACCAATAATGTGTTGTTCGAGAACCACTGCTGGATCAGTTTTATTTCTTATAACGACTACAAATACAAAATATTTGTATATTACAGACGGTAAAATGTTTTTTGGTTGACATAAAAATAAATAATGGACTTAGAGGGTTGACTATTAAAATGTGGCTAAGTTTAGATGTTTTCATGTGTCAAAATGAAATGCTTCCGTACAATACCGATTTATTAGTTGTTACCCATAACAAAATTTTGATAATCCGATTTGGTTTCCAAACATTACCTAAATGTTTTGTTGTTGTTTTTGTAATAATGTATTAGATTACTCTGTTATGAATTAAAATTAAAGCAATGCGACCTTGAATACAGACCCAATCCAAGGTACACCGCATTCTAATTTTAATTTACGTATTCCCGAGGAAAATTTTTAACGGGAAGATGTCGAAGAAAGCTTGCACCCTTTGCACCTACTTGCAGCTTACAAATCGGACGTTCTATTTAATAAGTATCTATGCAATTACAAAAAGAAATACATAACGGAAACGGCAGCAAAGCTAACCTTGGCTATCTAATAACGGCAATGGAATCGTAGTTACGCATTGCAAGCGATCGGCAAAAAATTGTTTGTCAAGTAAAATCAGCACCTATGCTTTTTTTTCACAATGAGACCCAAATAGTAGCGCTTCCTTCTATTCGTGTGGGAAGTGTTATGAATCGGAAACTTTCCAAATTGAAAATTTCCATTTCCATCGTCCCTTGAAGAAAAGGAAACTGGTGACTCCATATTTTTTAAAACTTTAAGCGGAAGTTTAGTTTTGATATATGTTGAAATGTCTGGCATTAATAAAGACGAAATTAGCATTATTTTGCAACTTCTTTGCTATCTAAAGCTGCAGTGATCAGAATGCAAGCTGGCAGGGATATATCTGATCACCGCATTATTATATAACGCTACAATATGAGATCGATCGCTTCGACGGCTCCAACTCAAGCGAGAGAAAATTTGGAATTCTTTTAATTACCTGACGTTTACAACCAGAGGTATTTTCACATTTTAATTTGAACTAGTTCTTACTGACTGCCTAACGGTGTCTCTCCTATTTCGACCCTGAATTTCCAAGTCTAATACTCAAACTATTGGCAATTTCTATTTTCCGTGGATACAATAACCTAACTAAAATTAATACCCTCCTTTTATCAGTGTGTATACCTCATTTCTCATTAAAATTTCTATTAATTAAAATTCAAGAAGTATATTTAGGCTTGTTCCTTTACTCTCTAGCTATTTTCCTTCTTCACACTTCCCTAACTGATACTCCTAAAAGGTAATCTTTAAATTTATGGGCTACTCTTCTATTTCTGGGTGTTCTTTTCGGAGAATGCGTGCTGTTGCTCCTGGGAATTGCACTCTATGTTCCTTCGCCCTCGTCGATTGTTATGTTATTCTGCCGCATAGTCTACAGTGTGGCGTGGTGGTAGGAGTTAAGATTCAAGAGTTAAAGTTTGGGAGAGGATTTATTCTAGCTCTCTCCATAGATATAGAGCTTTATCTAGGATGATCTCTCTCATTAGATTCTTCAGCTTCGATGGTGGCTCCTTAGTGTTATTCGTTTCCTCTAGTTTGGTCACTCCCAGAAGAAACACACCATCGATATTTGCTTTGCCAACTCACATGTTGATTGTTGATAAACAATATGAAAAGCCTGTCCTTCTTATATTGATGATTGAGCCCGAGGAACTATCCACACTGTCCGTGAAAGGAGAGTGAGTGAAGCTGTGCTGGATAATAATGGATCGAAAGGTGCGAATGCAGCGCGCTGACCATCAGGGAAATTTCGATCTAATAAAACTTAATTAACTACAAGTGTGGTCTTAACTTAATTTAAAAGTTTTAAAGGGAGGCAAATGAAAGTTTCTTGTGCGCAAATGTTTTCCTTTAACGAATATGAGAGTTAATAGTTCCTTTGTGTTAATAATTTTTGATATTTACTTGTAGGACAGACATCGCAAAATAAAAACCACCTGAATTTGATATCGTTTGCAAAAGTCGTAACTGTAGCGTTTTACCAGAGTTGAAAGTAAAAGTTAAAAATGCCTATATTGCCATTTTTTTATTAAGGAAGTTTTTTAACTCGATACGGCACTGATCGTTTACCGAGTAAACGACTTTGCATCAGTGTTGAAGTTTTTATGCAGAAAATTGCTGTTTTTCCACGCAAATTGACACGTTCATTGTTGGTAAAGAAAATATAATAATTACGGACACGTGTAAAGACTTACGCAACTGCTTTTGTGAGTGTGGGTGCGACCGTAAAAATTGCGGCGAAAGCAATCAGCTGCGTCGCATTCGTTTCGTTTCACGCAGTTCTATGCAGTTAAGTGGCATTGGTGTGTTTGACCATTTGTCATTTTTGCCAATAAATGGGCCTTGTCCAAACAATGACGATGCAGTCGCCGACAATGTTACAGGCATGAATTTGAACAATGCAATACAAATTTTTTACATTGACTTCGCTTAGATAATTCAAGTTGATATAATATAAATAAGATGAAATGGATATACCTTACACGGCTAT